ATTATTCTTTTAGCCTAATCGTCCGTTAAACAACTGGTAACTCGCAGATTAGATTCGTGAAATATCGGTCAGTTGGTGTCTTTCGCAGGTGACGAAGGGATAAATGAGATTCACGGAACGTTCATACATTTACGATAGTCGAATTCTAAATAGTTAGAACAGATTTCGGAATATCGAAACTCGATTAGGTAAAACAAGAACTTCGAGTAACGGAAGACGTTTAAAGTTATTATCAATATTTCCACCGTAAAAGAGAGAAAGTTACCCTTGTTGAAAAACAATTATCATATATAATGTATTCCACAAATAATGACCTGGCTCCAAGCTAGCGACCTTCACTGGTCTGCATCGACTTATACAGATTCAGGGCCCCAGGATGACGCGGACACTGCTTGGTGACAGCTGGTTGGTGCCTATTGCTCTGCGAAGGTTATTCTACCATAAACAAGTTAATACAGTGAACCCTACCTAATCCGAACCCTTAGTCCTGGAACCTGATTTCTTGACAATATCAGACTGAATTTACACAAAGGGCATATCTTCATAACAATAACTCGTTGATCCAGGGCCCTGTTCCACAAAACGATCTTAGCGCTATGATTGTCGTAAGTCAGTGTTAAAGAATGGGAGTTACGATCGACTTAGCGCTAAGATCACTTTGTGGAACGGGGCCCTATCTACACGGGATGTTTGCACTTGGAACCCCACCGTCCGTATTAATGGACAGTGCCAATGAACTGCCTCCGTGGTCGAGTGGTTAGAACGCAAGCCAGGACAGCAGGAGGTCGGTGGTTCGATACCCAGCCGCGTCAGATCAAAATACGTTAAGAGATGGTACTTCTTGTCACCCTGCATGGCCACACCTTAAATACAGTGTCGACGGGTTAGAGGTTGTTAATTTAATTCAGGAAATGATTAAATACAAGTCCAACTATACGATTAACACCATAAACGTGTGATACCGCGACACCTGACCAACACTAGTATGGCGTTGTTACTTCGCGCCCTCTGCTGATCTATGGTTCTGTTCGTGAAGGATGGGGTAAGCGATCTTAGCGCTATGATTGTCGTAAGTCAGTGTTAAAGAATGGGAGTTACGATCGACTTAGCGCTAAGATCACTTTGTGGAACGGGGCCCTATCTCCACGGGATGTTTGCACTTGGAACCCCACCGTCCGTATTAATGGACAGTGCCAATGAACTGCCTCCGTGGTATAGCGACGTGCATGTACGTGTGTGTTTGTGGCTGCTTGTACTAGTCCGGACTGATGCCGATTTATAGTGCTAGCCCACCGAGATACCATGCTGCAGTTTAACATGAATACCCCACTCAGACACAGTGTACTGACTCCGAGCCGACCAGTCCTTGTTTTAGCCACTTAATGCCGAGCGCCAGACAGGGTAACAACAAGTGCCATCTTTTAACGTCTTTTGGTATGACGCGGCCGGGGATCGAACCCCGGACCTTCCGCTCTCCGGGCGGACGCTCTACCTCTAGGCCACGGAGGCGGTCGTGAAGGGTGGGAGATTGGTGTTAGTAAGTGAGTATAGTTTTACTCATGGTTTAACAAAATTCCAACAATATCACAGCAGGGGATACAACAAATTGGGTTCACACATTACACCCTTCGGCGTGACGAGCGAACACTTTAACTTCTCGTTTAACGTATAGTTTTATACGTATGCAAGATCTACAGAGGGCACTTATTTCGTGCTAAACAAATATTTAAATGACCCAAATACATACTATCCAGAGAATGATCATGTTACAAGTAGATTCACATGTTTCATTAACGTACATGTTCTGCTCTTGAGGGCTTATTTGTAATTAAACATGACATAATTCATATCTTGAAAACGTTTGATTCAGTAAGGAGAATATATTGTATGTTTGTTTGATGCCGCATTCAGCATTATTCCAGTTATATGACGACTGTCTGTAAATAATCGAGTCTGAACCAGACAATCCAATGATTGACATCATGAGCCTCGATCTACGCATTTGGGATACGATGACATGCATCAACCAAGTCTGACCACTAGATCGCGTTGATCGCCTCTTACGACAGGCAAGGGTTGCCGAAGACCTATTCTCTACCCGAATCTCCACAGGTCTATATTGAAGGTCGAATATCATATGTATTTGGTATGTCTTACGAGTGTCTTTCAAGCGTGGACATAAACTTGAAATGATACAGATCGTCGATATTGTTAAGGTTACAATATCTACATAATCTGACAGACTATGGAACTTTATGGCGTCTCCCGGTTTGAATCTGAAGCTTCGTACATCCAACTCGAGTATGAACAAATGTACACAAGGCCGAATCCGTTTGATATTTCTATTCGTATCTTAAAAAGTGTACAACGTTCATATCTAGTACCAGATGATGTTATATTAGTTAAGTAAGAAAACGATCTATACATCCAACATCTCGGGGGGCGGTCGGGTAGCCTATTGGTTAAAGCGTTCGCTCGTCACGCAGAAGACCCGGGTTCGATTCCCGACATGGGTTCAATGTGTGAAGCCATTTCTGGTGTCCCCCCGCCGTGATATTGCTGGAATATGCTAAAAGCGGCGTAAAATCAAACTCACTCACTCACTCACTCACTCACTCACTCACTCACTCACTCACTCACTCCAACATCTCGGTAAACTCAAACCTGAGCCAAGACCTGAACGAACCAAATAAAATACGTCTGGCATTACTTGCCCAGCTCTGTCAATCTACTGCATCAAGATTAAATAACATTTCGGATATCTTACGGAGATGTCTGTTGGTTGGCATACGAATTAGTTACAGCTGGTGTTGATGCATGTAACCGAACCGTTTCAACGCGATTGATACCGTCCATTACATTGAGATTGTTAATACCTGTACCAAGGTAGCATTTACATGCTAGTTATTGGACCCTTTTGAATACCTCTTTGATGTCCCCGTATTTCGCACCCATAAAGAAGGATAGGTTGGGGGGTTTTAATGTTCCAAGTGGGATTTTTCCATATGTCGAAACCAAGTTAAAACATTTTCTAGTGATCCTCTCCCAACGTGACACTGTTGTTATTTTTAAAGATGGAGTCATCTATAATCCAAAGTACTTACATTCTGATACATCTTCGACAACTTTATTAGGATTATAACATTTCTAACAGTTTAACAGTTCCACCTTCACGAAAAATAATTATTTAGTTTTCGGTAGGTTGACATTTAACTTCCATGCAGAAACAATAATCATCTAGAATATTCAGTTCTCTTACAGCTCACTTATTCTATCATAAATAGACATACCCATCAGCAAACATAAACACAAACTATTCATCTTGATAAGGGAATACTTGTACTCCTCGATATGTGTCAATAGTTTCAGCAGCCAATTCATCAATAAAAGATGTAAATACAATTGGCCTCAATACACAGCCTTGTTTCAGTCCAATAAGTCAGTCAAAACACTCAGTAAAACCAGCGTCACACCGTCCCCATTCTGTAACAGATGAATACATCGACTTCATCATATTCAACATTTAAACAGGAAGACAACATTTTCGAAGAACATACATAAGTTTCTTTCTATTTACAGAATCAAATACTGTCTTTTTAAATCCTTAAAGGCAATAGGAATCATCTACCTTTCCGTGAACTTAAATATGTTTCAATACAAGCAGTTAGTGGGAACAAGTTATCCGCTGTTGCATATCGGTGCCTCAAAGCTGCTTGTTCGTCATATATTTTGTTATTATCAAGTGTGTGTCATCCAGAAACATTTTAAAGGTACGACATTGAATCATTTTTAACAATCACATCAAATTATATTTCGAAAAATTTCTTACAATTACGAAATATTTTGGAGTATTCATTCTGAAAAATCCATTACAAACTCTCTGCATTTCCTGGCTTGGAGAATGCTGGGTAAAATGTCATTGATCGACGGGGATGAGTGTGTACGTAACACCATGCAACATTAACAGGGGATCTCACTTCGAGTTGACTGCATAGACTCACGTAATATGGGTGATAATTGATTCCTCATTTGATAGATTAACGTTGAGATTGTTGTGGATTTTCGCTTTTCTCTTGTACACAGTCAATTTCATCATTATGTTTCTGAAACTGGCTATTCAGTTTGCAAAACACAAAACAATGTTCATAGCTCGGTAGGGTTGACTCCAGGGAGCTTCTCGGGCCTCGGTTCTGCCCATCACTGAACCACTCGTGTTCCAAATGTGCCTTATTTCACCCAGCAGCAAATGACCCAGATGGTCAGATGGTAATGCAAAACCCCGAATCTCCTAAACGCATATCTGGTTGTAATGTACACATATTATGGGTTTCTTTCATAAATCACTCAAATCTGAGAAACTGCCTTGAAATTGATACGGGTCGTTGTAACTTCATCAGTACTTCTTAGATGATGCTTTGTGAAATAAGGATACATTCTTCATCATCTTATCCCGTAAAGTATGTTTATAATGAATATATCAATCAATTCCGGAATGATGCGATATGCCGTATTCATGATATGACACGCTGCATCTCACATATCATTGCTATCGTTGTGCCAGCGGTACTGTCACTGTTAAAGTGACCAACAATATGACGACGAAAAGTTTGTTTTTATAAGATAACCAAGTACCTACTTCGCCACAATGTGGATGTCAACAAGAAAACAGCGTTATCACTTTGCCCGGCCATGAGTGAGTGAGTGGGTTTAACACCGCTCTGAACAATATTCTAGTCATATCACGGCGTGTCAGCTTATTGTGAGAGGAACGCTCAAAAGTGGGTAAGTAGGTTTAACACTGCTTTGAACAATATTCCAGCCATATCACGGCGTGTCAGCTTATTTTTTGGAGTAAAGCTGAAAATGATACAAGGCTTAGAGGTTTACCACCCGGATATGATGCTGACAAACCTACACACGTAATCGATCGAACAGGGTCCCTTGTCTGGAATAAATAATTCATGGCACCAATTTTAGAACTCAGTCCTGATAAGTATACATTCTCTTGGATAAGCTTTTTATTCATGTACATGAAACTTCAGTAGTTTCTGATAAAACATGTCCCCATTTAACCAGTTGAAAAGCATGGAGCAAGGGTCATAAATCTGTACAAAATGAATTTAAGATACAAATTTTCGAATTCATTTAGGATCACGACCAGTAACATCAGTGTTATAAAGTTAATTTCTCGAACTTAAATAGTCGGTGAGAAATGGAAGGACGGACGAACTACGCTCCCATATCCTCCCCCGCTCCACTTCGCTGCGGGGGATAAAGAGGGATCAGGATATATAACGCTCTCATCTAAGAAGAGATAAACAGATCAAATGTAAAATAGTAATCATATTTTGAATATTAAGAGCAATCAGAGCTCCAGATACGATGCATATTTGCATACATAAATCAGCATTAACCACTAAATTTTGAGTTGCTTACGTACCAATGCGCATGAAAATCAAAAACACAATTAACCATAATTATCCAATGTAGCCGTTTCAGTTTGGCTAACTGTATTCCCTAACACAAATGTATTAACTAATCTAATAAAGGCACACACGAACTATATTGTAGTGCATAATGTACAACAACCATCCGTTACAAAACTTTTTGTAACTTTGAAAACTAACCAATGGGCTGGACCCAAGGGAGTAGTATATACTGGTCAAAAAAAGAAACGCATAGCTGAAAACTGTTTTTCAAACTTGACTGTTATTAAAGTTGAAGGCTTGAACTCAATATAAATGTCATTGCTAACTGTGAATATTGACCTTACACTAGTTTATTGCACCCAAACACAAAATTTGGTGACTTGTCGCGAAAATAGAGCATCTTGAAACCAAACTGGGAGGAATTGCATGGAGAAAAAGCTGTAAGCATGCTGCACATACCCAAAGAAAACTGTCAATACCCAATGAGAATGAACAACATTAAGTAAATATTCAAAATCTCTGGAGTCCTGGTGCAATTTTCATTTCAAAAAACAAAACAGTTCGTCCTCGGTATCTTCAATTTGGGACAACAATCAGAATAAAAATACTTCATAGTGGTCTTGTTAATGACGAAAAATGTTCGCTAAAATGTCCCTATCGTGTCCAACGTCAGTCCCTAAAAACACTTCCTGTGAACAATGGACGGGCCAGACTCATCGTACTCCTGCTTGCTGATCCACATCTGCTGGAAGGTGGACAGAGAGGCAAGGATGGAGCCACCGATCCAGACGGAGTATTTTCTCTCTGGAGGAGCGATGATCTTGATCTTCATTGTGCTGGGGGCAAGGGCTGTGATCTCCTTCTGCATTCTGTCTGCGATTCCCGGAAACATGGTGCTGCCTCCTGAGAGAACAATGTTGGCATACAAGTCTTTACGAATATCAACATCACACTTCATGATGGAGTTGTATGATGTTTCGTGGATACCAGCAGATTCCATTCCCAAGAAGGGTGGCTGGAAGAGAGCCTCTGGACAACGGAACCTCTCGTTGCCAATGGTGATGACCTGACCGTCGGGAAGCTCGTAGCTCTTCTCCAATGAAGAGGAAGAGGCAGCAGTCTGCATTTCCTGTTCAAAGTCTAAAGCAACGTAAGCTAATTTTTCTTTGATATCCCTGACGATTTCTCGTTCGGCAGTGGTGGTGAAGGAGTAACCACGCTCGGTCAGGATCTTCATGAGGTAGTCTGTGAGGTCACGCCCAGCGAGATCCAGTCTCATGATGGCGTGGGGAAGGGCGTAACCCTCGTAGATGGGAACAGTGTGGGTGACACCATCACCAGAGTCAAGGACAATACCCGTGGTACGGCCGGAAGCGTACAGAGACAGAACAGCCTGGATGGACACATACATAGCTGGGGTGTTGAAGGTCTCAAACATGATCTGGGTCATCTTTTCACGGTTGACCTTGGGGTTGAGGGGAGCTTCAGTCATGAGTACTGGGTGCTCCTCTGGAGCCACTCGGAGCTCGTTGTAGAAGGTGTGATGCCAGATCTTCTCCATGTCGTCCCAGTTGGTGACTATACCGTGCTCGATGGGGTACTTAAGGGTTAGAATACCTCTCTTTGACTGAGCCTCGTCACCGACGTAGCTGTCTTTCTGTCCCATACCGACCATCACACCCTGGAAAGAACAGAAATAACATCTATATCATGTATGTTACTTGTTACGATCGGCATACAAAGCATACAATATTGCGTAAGTAAGGTTGTCCGACGGTTTCAGCAGTGTTCAAACGGCGGCGGACAGAAACAACAAGCAGTTTGGATCCGGGTTCCTCCGCTTGACAAGCCACCGCTTGAACCATTAGGAGTACATATTTTGTACATTGCGATCTCCTATCATAGTGGGAGTGCTATCTCACGCCTACCCCACCTTTATTAAGTTTAATATACAAGAAAACCGGTTTTCATGCTTTAACAATGCACGAAAAACCTCATTTCAGAACATTTCACAGATTGTATTTAGTTCGCTTGTAAAACCCGTTTAACCACAACCTTGTGACAACTGTGTTTTTACATGTATACAATAGAGTAGATCTTTTCATTTCCATATTTGGGCACAATATTGTAAACACATAAACCGGGCGAAGGTATTTGTAGCCGTCATGTTCTAAATACAAACACAAAAGTCATTGCAAGTAATTCATGCGGGACATAACAAACGCATCGAACTCTTAATTCATTTTGATTCAAAAGCCTTCATGAAATCAGAGCGTCATGCCCTGAATAACAGAAGTTAGTTTTCAATTGACGTTGAGAAACCTGATCACCCATGCTCGTCACGTGAGCTGTTGGTGTACACTTGTGCAGGGATTGGTGCACGATCAAACAGGAAGAGTAGATATATATAGATAGACAGACAGACAGATATAGAAATAGATATAGACAGACAGACAGACATATAGAAATAGATATAGATAGACAGACAGACAGATATAGAAATAGATAGATAGATACAGACAGACACACACAGACAGACACACAGACAGACAGACATATAGAAATAGATATAGATAGACAGACAGATATAGAAATAGATACAGACAGACATAAAGAAATAGATAAAGATAGACAGACAGGCAGATATAGATATAGAAATAGATAGATAGATACAGACAGACAGACACACCCAGACAGACAGACATATAGAAATAGATGGGAATAGATAGATAGAGATAGAAACAGATAGATAGATAGACAGACAGACAGATATAGAGATAGATATTGATATAGATAGATAGATATTGATATAGATGGATAGATATTGATATACATAGATATAGATAGATAGATAGATAGATAGATAGATAGATAGATAGATGTAACTGTTAGGCACAGCAGAACGTGCTTGCCCTTGTCGCGAACACCTGGCGTCATAACTGTTTTGTAGTGATCCATTCATTTGAAATGAAGGAAACCTGTTTCAGCAGATAATCGAGACTGGTTATTGTCTGGCGTTGACGTTTTGATGTACATATATTATATTTGAGCTGGCATGCAAAAGTGATGTTCCACCACTTCATTGAAATTTGCTAGAACTGCCAAACCGACCGTTACTTTGCTTTAACAGAGATGAATAAACGTAGTATCTGCATCAGATGCATCATATTCACACAACATGAGCCGATGCTTTGGAGATATATTGAGTGTTTTGTCGTTACTTGTCTTTCTATAACATTGTTTGTCAATGCTTACGATGGTTCTGTAATCAGAAACCACCATGGCCCATTATGGCGTCCTGTTTTTTTCCTCCCACATAACATCATCAGTAACCTCCAGTAAGTAAAACCGCTTCTATTGAAGAAGTGGCATTCATATAAAGTCACGGAACTTACATACATAAGGATAGTCGAATTCTAAATGGTTCGATAATCGCAGGATAATCGCAACTTGAATAGGTAACTGAAGAGCTTAGAGTTATTTTCAATACTGCCACTGGAAAGAGCGACCTGCATTACCTGATACATACTGAGGCACCGGAGTGATGCGGAAACTGCTTGGTGAGAGCTAGTTGAAGGCGCTTGCTCTGTGAAACTTATTATACCAAGAAACAATCTTATACAGTGAACCCTTGTTAATCTGAAAGACAATTATCAGTCTACATTTACACAAAGGACATCTCTCTATAAAAATGACTCGTTACCCGGATATCTAAAAAACTGGAGGATTTTATACTTGGAACCCCACCGGGTTCACGAACCTTCACACAGATAAGTATAATTACCTGATGACGGGGACGACCGACGATGGAGGGGAAGACGGCTCTGGGGGCGTCGTCACCGGCGAACCCGGCCTTACACATGCCGGAGCCGTTGTCGATAACCAACGCAGCGATATCTTCGTCACACATTTTGGCAGAAAGGTAGAAGACGTTTCACTACTGAGAGCTGTAACGCTGATAGCGGTAGTCTGGACAGGTGGATTTATATACCTCGATATGGTCAATGCGTCCCCTTATATGGCATACAGACATACAACAGATCGGCTACAGGTTAGTGTTTTGTTAAACAGGTTTTAGTTGTACACAATCAGACATTCTCGGGAAAGACGAGAACAATGTATTGTGAAACATTAAACATGCCTCGCGTGTCTATATTGGAAAACGGCCTGGCGACGTGTCTTTACGTGTACGGTCTTTGTGCAATCCAACCACAGCACAACAGGTAGCGTATGACCCCTTAGTGAAGAAAATTTAGGGTTGTGCCTTTAGTATTGACCAGGATTTGCGGTCGTTTCAAATATCTTTAAATTGGGTTTTAACAATCTATAGTTGTGTGAAATGACACGTCTTCCTAAATTAAGGCCAAAACGTCTTGCACTAACTCCTCTAACATGTTGCAGTCACTCCCCTAACGTGTTGCACTAACTCCTCTAACATGTTGCACTACCTCCACTAACGTGTTGCACTAACTCCCTTAACATGTTGCACTAACTCCCCTAACGTGTTGCACTAACTCCCCTTACATGTTGCACTAACTCCTCTAACATGTTGCACTAACTCCCCTAACATGTTGCACTACCTCCACTAACGTGTTGCACTAACTCCCTTAACATGTTGCACTAACTCTCCTAACGCGTTGCACAACCTCCACTAACATGTTGCACTAACTCCTCTAACATGTTGCACTAACTCTCCTAACGCGTTGCACTACCTCCACTAACATGTTGCACTAACTCCCCTAACATGTTGCACTAACTCTCCTAACGCGTTGCACTAACTCCAGTAACGTGTTGCACTTACACCTCTAACATGTTGCACAACCTTCCCTAAAATGCTGCACTAACTCCCCTAACGTGTTGCACTTACTCAACTAACATGTTGCACTAACTCCCCTAACATGTTGCACTAACTCCCCTAACATGTTGCACTAACTCCCCTTACGCGTTGCACTAACTCCTATAACATGTTGCACTAACTCCCCTAACATGTTACACTAACTCCCCTAACGTGTTGCACTAACTCCCCTAACATGTTGCACTAACCCCCCTTACATGTTGTACTAATTCCCCTAACACGTGCACTAACTCCCCTTACATGGTCCACTAACTCCCCTTACATGTTGCACTAACTGCCCTAACGTGTTCTACTAACTCCCCTAACATGTTGCACTAACTCCCCTAACATGTTGTACTAACTCCCCTAACGTGTTGCACTAACTCTCATAACATGCTGCACTAACTCCCCTAACATGTTGCACTAACTCCCCTAACGTGTTGCACCAACTCCCCTAACATGTGTTTCTTACTCCTCTAACGTGTTGCACTTACTCCCCTAACATGTTGTACTAACTCCCCTAACGTGTTGCACTAACTCCCCTAACATGTTGCACTTACTCCCCTAACGTGTTGCACTAACTCCCCTTACGTGTTGTACTAACTCCCCTAACGTGTTGCACCAACTCCCCTAACATGTTACACTAACTGCCCTAACATGTTGCACTACCTCCACTAACGTGTTGCACTAACTCCCCTAACGTGTTGCACTAACTCCCCTAACATGTAGCACTAACTCCCCTTACATGTTGCACTACCTCCACTAACATGTTTCACTTACTCCCCTAACGTGTTGCACTACCTCCTCTAACGTGTTGCACTAACTCCCCTAACATTTGTCACTTACTCCTCTACCATGTTGCACTTACTCTCTAAGATGTTGCACTACCTCCTCTAACGCGTTGCACTCACTCACTCTAACGTGTGACTCGTGAAGATCCGGGGTAGAATTGGTCTTCAGCAACCCATGCTGGCCGTGAAAGGCTACTATGCTTGTCGTAAGAGATAACTAACGGGATCGGGTGGTCAGACTCGCTGATTTGGTTGATGCATGTCATCGTACCCCAATTGCGTAGATCGATGCTCATTATGTCAGTCACTGGATTGCCTGGTACAGACTCGATTATTTACAGACTGTCGTCATATAGGTGGAATATTGCTGAGTGTGGCGTTAAACAACAACCAAACAAACAAACAAACACTCTAACGTGTTTCACTAACTCCTATAACACCTCGGGGGTGGTCCCAGTCGTCAGAAGCCTGGCCTGCAAAGAGACGTTCTCAGCTAATCCCTTGTCAACCTTTCACCACTGAGTGGGAGGCACCTGCTAAATATAATCTTAATATGGACTCCCGTGTTTTGAACATGTTCTCGTTTGTGAATGTAGTTACGATGCTGTACGTAAAGTCGTGACACCGGTCCCCTGCATATAACACTGTGTCTGTGACAGGATAAGAATGTGGCCCATCGATCTTGTCGCTGGGGAACCAATGACATGAAAACAGGCGGTCAAAGGAGGACATTATAAAATATGTCATAAAAGTAGGTCATGTAAGGGAGGCGACTCTGACATACACATACCGAACATCGCCTACCATGTTCAGCTGAATATCTATGACCCAAGTAAATGGTATAACATCGTTCTACCTACCTCAATATCATTCTCCCTGCCTCTTGGAACATACCTGACCTCTGTCCATGTAACTGTACAGAAGATGCCCACTGTCTCAGCATGTGCGCGGACCGCGACTTGTCAGTGACAGCACACCCACAGTCACAGTCATCTGCTATCGCTGTGACTATCATCGTTACAGTGACCGACATTCACGGACAGCACAGACAGTTTCCATCATATGTGGACAATTCGTTTGAGATAGGTAGCCCATAGGTAGTCTATGAAGACGCGTATTTCGACGTGCAGAATGGCGTCCCTTGTCCGTGCAAGGATCCGCAAGGAATCTCAGATTCGCTGTCAGCACCATATTTATGCTCGTGAGTGAGTGAGTGAGTGAGTGAGTGAGTTTGATTTTACGCCGCTTTTAGCAATATTCCAGCAATATCACGGCGGGGGACACCAGAAATGGGCTTCACACATTGTACCCATGTCGGGAATCGAACCCGGGTCTTCGGCGTGACGAGCGAACGCTTTAACAACTAGGCTACCCGACCGCCCCTATGCTCGTGAGTATATCCTTAGACTTTTGATTTGACTAAAATCCTGTGAAGCTCGGATGAGAATAGGTCCATATCATTTTATTGCTTGTCTCAGGAGGCGACAACATTGGATCGGGTGGTCAGACTCGGTGTTACTTTGATTGCTTGAAACCGTATTCCGAAGACATGGGTCAGTACTATGAATCACCACGACTGGGAAAAGGGAACTTATACAGGAGTTGCGGCAATAATCGACTACTGCAGTTGACGCCAACAAATGTCGCGTCAAAAGATGGATTGATTGAACTGGTATGTAACGAACAATGTTTACTTTCGATGTGTATAAAAGTGTAACGATGTAACGCATCGATAATCGAGATATAATCTCCGTACCAGATGAGACCGCCTCCGTGGTCTAGTGGTAGAGCGTCCGCGTCATACCAAAAGACGTTAAAAGATGGTACTTGTTGGCGGCATTAAGGGTCTAAAACAAGGACTGGTCGGCTCGGAGTCAGTATACTGTGTCTGAGTGGGGTATTCATGTTAAACTGCAGCATGGTATCTCAGTTGGCTAGCACTATAAATCGGCATCAGTCCGGACTAGTACAAGCAGCCACACAAACACACACACGTACATGCACGTCGCTATATAAGTGCAATAATCTTGGACGCGACGTTAAACCCAATTTCACCTCACCTCACCTCACCGTACCAGATGAATCACCATTTGCTTTCCTGTATATGTGAATGCATTGACAAAACATCCTTATATTCACATGTGAATCAACTGATTGTATATGTTTTTGTTGTAAACAACTATGTTGATCAATTATCTATATTTCATCGGGGTTTCCTTTTGAATATTAAACCAAAACACTTTATATTTTCAGATAACGAAAACGTTGTTATAAACTGACTTCCAAAAGAAACTTTACCAACTGAAAATATAAATTTCAGACAAAGTATTAAGTATTTTTTTCGATGAAGTCTATCTGAAACACATAACCTAAATACAACAATAGTGCATGCAGAAAATTTTAATCGTCTGTTACATGTTTGCGAGATAACACGCGAAAAAGTGAAAAACACGTGCACCACGGACAACTGCAAATGCACCTGCGGGTAAGGGTTTAAAACGATTGCAACGGCAAGTCAGACATCCACAGAGATAAAAAAACACAAAAGAAATGCCACGACTCACAGTCGAACAACGTGAACGCTCCCGCGTTGCCGTTACCAACTTGATGCAACGTTACAGACAGTCAGGGCGGACCGCTGACAGGCTAAGAACAGGTAGACCCAGGCTGACCACGCCCCATGATGACCAGTACTTGCGTACCTTGCACCTCCGAAATCGCTTCCTGACAGTGACGTCATCGGCGACAAATGCCTTAGGTCACAGGGTTAGTCGACAGACAGTGGCCAGGAGACTCAGGGCTCATGGAATCAGGGCTTTTAGACCATACAGAGGACAGCTATTGACAGCGCAACATCGTCGTCTGCGATTGAGATGGGCCCGGACTGTACGACGTTGGCAACGACGTGACTGGCAGAGGGTTGTCTTCACTGACGAAAGTCGATTCTGTATGTTTAGGGCTGATGGAAGACAACGTGTTTACCGCCAAAGGGATGAACGAACGGCGGCGTGTTGCGTGCAGGAGGTCGTACCATATGGTGGAGGGAGTGTCATGGTGTGGGGAGGGATCTGTGGGCAGGAGAGGACACCGCTGGTCATCGTTGACGGAAACTTGACAGCTCAGCGGTACATGGATAACATTCTTCGTCCAGTTGTCCTACCATCTCTCCAACAGCAGCCACATGGTGTCATTTATCAGCATGACAACGCTAGAGCCTATACAGCCAGAATTGTCTCTAACTTCCTCGCAGCCAACAACGTCAACGTCCTGTCGTGGCCTGCACGCTCACCCGACATGTCCCCCATAGAACACCTCTGGGACTTGATGGATCGTCGTGTTCGACAACGACCACACTCTCCAGCCAACCGGCAACAACTGATCTTGGCCCTCAAAGAAAAATGGCGTCAAATCCCAGGTGACCTCATCAGACGACTGACTGTTTCTGTGCGTCGAAGAGTTTTTGCGTGTATTGAGGCATTTGGTGGTCCCTCACGCTACTAATGACTTGTTATTGAACGTGAGCGATTGTTTATGTACTCTGCCTATTGTCCATGATTCTGAAAGCTCGAGTTTTGTACCACACCCAACTTTGGGGGGCTCTGACGTCATTCTCGGTCGCGGTATGATTGTCATTTTCAGTGTTGATTATGTTGATATATTGATCTTCTCAATACACTTTACTTCATGCATGTATGTTTTGTTGTTTTTGAGCAAGAATGATTTCAAACTCTGGTAAAGTTTCTTTTGGACGTCAGTTTATTTAGATAAGCAAGTACCTACTTTGCCCCAACGTGGCTGTCAAAAAGGGATAAGAATATATAACGCCCTCACCTCAGAAAAGATAAACAGCTAAATTGTAAAAAGAAAAAGTAATCATATTTACAATATTGAAAGCAATCAGAGCTCCAGATAAAGCTACGCATTGCTTACATGCAAATACGCATAAAACCGTTCAACAAATTACCCATATTTAGCCATAATAACTTTTCCAACTTGAAGAGCTTAGAGCCATAAGGGCCAATGTCATGTGGAGTCTGTTTTGAGAAAAGTGATGGAACCCATAACCATATGCACGTTAATGACATTTTTTTACTGATAAATTCCAAGACATTAACGCATTCTGACAGCGGAGATATAAATGTTGTTATAAGAAGCAGTCAAAAAAGGAAATAAACTTACGATTTTAATTTGTGTAAGGGTGGAAAGGGCCAATGTCTGTATTTCGGCCCTTTTTGACCCTCAGGCATTTGCATGGGATTTAACATGTGGGATTGATAAACTACTACTGAAAGTACAAACACTTTCTATTGAAGTACTTTTAAATGATATAAACTATTCCCAATTTGTTGAAATAGTTGAAACATAACAATAAGGTGTGCAAACTTTCAAAATCTCTCTCAAACAACCAGTCTCAACCACACTCGTAAATGAGAGCTAAACGACCAAAATCCAGCAAAGTGACTTTGGCCCTTTTGGAACTTGACTTTGGTCCTCTTATAGAATTTTAAGTAGCTATATTTCTAAAACGCACAAATGAAAACATACAATATTCTTTCTACAGAGAGACATGAATTCATAGAAGTTATGACCAAAGTGCATTTTGGCCCCTTTTAGCTCTAAGCTCTTCACTTGTGTAACTGTATTTCGTAGCATATTTTTATTTACTTATCGTTTAAGGCATCGAGATTACACGAACTATACAGCAGTGCATAAAACACAAAAGCCGAACGTCTCGCAGAGAATGAAATATAACAGACAGTAGTACCAAAGGGAGAAAAAAAATATTAAATACCCAACAAAAACTATCAATACCAAATGGGAATGTCAACATGTGAGTAAATACTCAAAGTCTCATCCACCCGGAGAGAGGAAGGTCCGGGGTTTGATCCCCGGCCGCGTCATACCAAAAGATGGTACTTGTTGTTACCCTGTCTGGCGCTCGGCATTAAGGGGCTGAAACAAGGACTGGTCGACTCGTAGTCAGTATACTGTGTCTGAGTGGGGTATTCATGTTAAACTGCAGCATGGTATCTCAGTTGGTTAGCACGCACGCACGCACGCACACACACTCACACACACACGTGCATGGACGTCGCTATATAAGTGCAATAGTCTTGGACGCGACGTTAAACCCCATTTCACCTCACCTCAAAGTCTCAAAACATTACCTGGAGTCCTGATGCAATTTACTTTGTCATTACAATAACAAAACAGTTTGTCCTCCGTAGCTTTAATTTTGGATAAGGACAATAATTAATAGTGGCGTTATCAGTGATGAAAAGTGTTTGGTACATGTTACTATCGTATGGAATGTCAGCCCCTAAATTCACTTCCTGTGCACAATGGATGGGCCGGACTCATCGTACTCCTGCTTGCTGATCCACATCTGCTGGAAGGTGGACAGAGAGGCAAGGATGGAGCCACCGATCCATGCGGAGTATTTTCTCTCTGGAGGAGCGATGACCTTTATCTTCATTGTGCTGGGGGCAAGGGCCGTTATCTCCTTCTGCATTCTGTCGGCAAAACCTGGGAACATGGTGGTACCTCCTAGGAGAACAGTGTTGGCATACAAGTCTTTACGAATATCAACATCACACTTCATGATGGAGTTGTATGTTGTTTCATGGATACCAGCAGATTTCATACCCAAGAAGGAAGGCTGGAAGAGGGCCTCTGGACAACGGAACCTCTCGTTGCCAATGGTGATGACCTGACCGTCGGGAAGCTCGTAGCTCTTCTCCAATGAAGAGGAAGAGGCAGCAGTCTGCATTTCCTGTTCAAAGTCTAAAGCAATGTAAGCTAACTTCTCCTTGATGTCCCTGACGATTTCCCGCTCGGCAGTGGTGGTGAAGGAGTAACCACGCTCGGTCAGGATCCTCATAAGGTATTCTGTGAGGTCACGCCCAGCGAGATCCAGTCTAATGATTGCGTGGGGAAGGGCGTAACCCTCGTAGATGGGAACAGTGTGGGTGACACCATCACCAGAGTCCAGAACAATACCATCGGTACGACCGGAAGCGTACAGAGACAGGACAGCCTGGATGGACACATACATAGCTGGAGAGTTGAAGGTCTCGAACATGATCTGGGTCATCTTTTCACGGTTGGCCTTGGGGTCGAGGGGAGCCTCAGTCAGGAGAACGGGGTGCTCCTCTGGAGCCACACGGAGCACGTTGTAGAAGGTGTGATGCCAGATCTTCTCCATGTCGTCCCAGTTGGTGACTATACCGTGCTCGATGGGGTACTTAAGGGTGAGAATACCTCTCTTTGACTGAGCCTCGTCACCGACGTAGCTGTCCTTCTGTCCCATACCGACCATCACATTCTGGAAAGAACAGAGATAACATTAATACTCTGTACTATTGCGTGATATCTGTACTATTGCGTGATTGCGTTCAAAACAACAACAACACGCCAACGCCAACGCCGTAAAAAGTTGGATTCATATTTTGGTTATAGTGATCCCCGATGATAGTGGGAGTGCCACCCAGCCTGTATAAAGATCGTCTTTAGTTCCTTGGGAAAACTCGTTTAAACACAGCCCTATGACAAGGGTGAATCTATAATTTTTAATATTTTCACAAAATAGGGGGAACTTTTCATATCCATATTTGGACGTGATAAGGCCTTTTGTAGGCGTGATGTTCACAATACAAAGACAAAAGTCACTGCAAATATGCCACTCTTCACCAGGGGAATTGTTAGTAGAAAACATTTGTATGCTGTGCAGGTTAATTTGTATGGATTAAAAAAAACTATTCATGAAATCAGAGCGTCATGACCTGAATAGCATCAGTTTACAATTACGCTGAGAAGCCCAACCTCCCCGGTTGTCATACTGCTGTTGGAGTACACTCGTTGTAAAGGGGTTGGCGCACGATCAAACGCGAAGTATAGATCTCTACAGCACATATATCCATGGTTCATGGGTTTCTTTAAATGTGACTCCAAGATCTATAGCCCTTTTCCATTTGAGGTCTTTACGTTGTCATTTGTGTTTAACTTGGTACTCTCTGTACATGACACAGCAAGACTTTAATGAAACTTTTGTGAGTGGCGGGTGCAACCAGTAGAGCAGGACACGCTTACTTTTCGTTTGGTATCACATGTAGTTATCGCCTTTATTATTAACAATATTTCCTTAAACACATGGTCAGTAAACCCACTCACTCACTCATTGACCTTGCTCCAAGTTAGCAAGTGAGTGCTCGTCTGCATCGACTGATTCAGGCCCCAGGTTGACGCGGACACTGCTGGGTGAGATTTAGATGGTGTCATTTGCACTGTGAAGCTTATGATACCTAGAAACAATCTTATTAAGTGAACCTTTGTTAATCCGATCCCCTTAGTCCAGGAATCTTGACAATATCATTTACAGAAAAGATAGATCTCTATAACAATGTTTCGTTTATACGAATATCTATAACAACGGCGGATTTCACTTCGAACCCCACCGTCCGTATTGAAGGTGGTTTCCTGTACATCCACACCACTTGACAGTGGTGGCAATGTCCACGAACCTTCTCACAGATCATAGTATAATTACATCATGTTTGGGGCGTCCGACGATAGAGGGGAAGACAGCTCTGGGGGCGTCGTCACCGGCGAACCCAGCCTTACACATGCCAGAGCCGTTGTCGATAACCAGCGCAGAAACGTTGCGGTCCAACTGGGGTTTCACTTCTGTGGACAGTCGTGAACAGCCTGAAGGAAAGAGTGTTGTCTTGTGACCAACTATTTCTGAGTAAAATGGATTTTAAAATAGATTGGTCTATTCTTGATGTCGTCCATGTTCTCAGTTAATGCAAATTGTATGAAAAAAAGAACTAAGAGTATGCATAATCAACATAGTAAGGCACCATTAAGTGATGGATACAATATTACTAGATGATACGTTCGAAAAGCATTGAGGGCATTTGTATGTCGACCTACTGATTCTTATAGAAATATTTTTTTCTAATTTGAAGTTTACACGGCTTTTCCATTGGACGAGAGGTCGGTCACGTGACCGCGAAATTGACGTTCATAAGTGTATGAATGACACAATTTGACGTTCATACGTTTTTCACGAGATCTTGTTCTTGAACACTCTCCTATCCAGAGTTCCTTGCGGCCGGCAGCCAGTCAGCATGGTTCTTGAAATGACGTAAACACTGACGGACTACTTCCACATTCCTGGGGAAACCCCTGGGAATTCCCAAGCACGAAAACATACATAAGCGTTCTTTCTGATCATTTAGAACCTTCATTCTTGGTCTCAACGTTTCAGTATACATTGAGAAATGTCAGAGAGCGTGACTGCATGATTGTTCACGTATATCCTCGCTGCGGCGTATCCTAATGAACAATCGAAGAAATGCACATCTCAACTATCGTAGTAACGACTCAATTCGTGCCAAGGCTGACATTGACCGTCTCCAGCAATCTAAGAATTTACCTTAGTGTCTGTTTGACGCATCTTTATTCACCTTTCAATGATCGGCCAGTTGATCAATGATGACTAAAACATGTAACCGCCACATGTTCATTAAGAACTTCGGAAACTCCGACGTTCATACAGTTTGGCCCTCACTCTATGACGGTTCATACTCCAATGAACTCACACAAAGTGAAGGTCAATTCTTAAATATACACACTCTCCTGTAGGAAATATTTGATCTGATTTGTGTAATTTTAAGCTGAGAAACTTAATGATAGTACACATTCTCCCTCTAGATGCACCTAAAATGTGGAAAAGCTGTTGGTAATTGATCATAGGGAAACAAGAGTTCTGGACCAGGAGCTAAGGCGCGCATTCTGATTGGTTAAGAAAAGTCCCGCTGGGGTGACGACATGCTAAAAATAGCTTGCCAGAGGTATGCAAGAAGCATATGCTGTCAATTATGTTCTAAACCGTGTTCTGACAACTCGCAACATGCTTTTTTAAGTGAGATGTTGAGGAGTTGATATCAGTGTAAGGGGTAACTTTAGTCTTAGTGTTATAAAATATAGTATATCGTCCACGTGAAACCGGACCAACCAACCATTTGTATTTGGTATTTAATTTAGTAACGTGAAGAGATAAACTGGCCCTCTGTGAAAGTCGTTTGAGTTAAATGCACAACTGAAGTCGTGCACCATGCAAGGGGTTGTATGATTCATCCTCAACAAAAGTGAAGGAGGTTACGCGTTCATGAACTTCAAGAACATCTGCTGCGAAGAGCAAACTTATTGGTAGACTGAGCCATTTTGGACTGTGGACCAATTATGGAAGCTGTTAGTTATGTGTTCAATAGCTTTGTCCACGTCTAGTGCATACAAGTAACAATGTGTTACAATTTTCAACTTACAGCATTGAGGGTGGTCAAATTGAATGTGGATGGCAGTTAATGGATCTTCCAGAACTTCTCTTATTGCAGTCCCTGGTGGAAGCTAATTGTTGACAGTGGCGAACAACAATCAGACTGTCTTTGGCAATAGTGGCAACATTTAAATATAAATTGTCAATACAAGAGAATAACCAGTCGAACTTATCCACTGAAACAGGTTCCATTTAGCGCAAAGGCACAATAGCTTTTCGAAACATATGAATGGACCAGTGAAGACACCAGGTGTTCGCGAGAAGGGTAAACATGACCTACCCTATCGTAGCACCTGCCATTCACACGATTTGCATAAAAAAGTATGTCGCAAAGCAATACTCTTACCATGCGACAGAAACCAGTAAACAAACCAGACAATCAAGTGATCAATAAACCAGTAAATCCAGTGCATTTACTGATTTTCTTGAAACATGAAAACGATACAGCTTAAGGTGACAGATCCAATGTCAAGCCTATTAACGTTTTAGGGGATACTTGTGCTCTTCAAACTCTGATTTTGGATGGTATTTTGCCACTTTCTGAGGAGTCATCAACTAACGCTGAGGTTTTGTCAGAGGGTTTATGTGGTTGTACTAGAGCGCCTCTCCATTTTGTGAATTTGAAGACATATTTGGTGTCTGTGTTGGTCAAAAGGGGGCTTGTGGAACCTCTACCTGGTAAAGGTGTAATCTTGCCCATTGGGAATGATTTGGCACGGGGATGCGTCTGGCAGATCCTGTTGTTTGTCTTGCACTCTTATGGATCATTCCCTTGACCTGTCTTAATTTTCGAGGGAGAGTACATTCTGACAGTTTGGCTGTTAAGAACCAGTTCTGGGCAGGGAGCAGTTAGTTAAGTTACAGAGGGGTGACCTGGAAGTAAAAGTCTTTGCCAACAGGGCACTCTCTTTAGAAGAAGCTGACAAGGTTCCAGATTGCTATTATTTCACGGATAGCGTATTGATGAGGAAATGGAGACCGCCCAATGTAGCTGCTGATAATGAATTGTTCTTCCTAATTCATTTTGAAATCATGTTTTGAGTCTGGCACATGAAACTTCTTTGGCAGGCCATCTGAGTGTGAACAAAATTTGTCCTAATTTGCGGCATGAGGTTGCTGAATTTTGCAAAAGTTGCCAAGGGTGCCAAATGGTTGGCAAACCTAATCAGAAAATCCCAGCGTGCACCTTTGAAACCCATTTGTGCTTTTGAAGAACCTTTCAGCAGGGTCATCATTGTCTGTGTTGTTCCTTTGTCTAAAACTAGGTCAGGAAAACAGTACAAGCCAACGATCATGTTTGCTCCCACAAGGTTTCCAGAGGCTATTTGCTTTACGGAAAATTACAGCTCAGGTCATTATCAATTCACCATGGTCGGTTTGCCTAGGATTTTACAGTCAGATCAGGACTCACTGTTTCGAGACTGAGAAGGCGGGGGATGAAGGCATTCATTCGTTGTTGTTTGCTGTGAGGGAGTCAGTTCAGGAGTCCCTAGATTTTAATCCTTTTGAACTTGTCTTTGGCCATACAGTTCGTAGATCTTTAGACACTTAATATCAGCATTGACTTAATGATAGGTCTGAAATGAGTTTGTTGTAGTATATCTCATCATTTCGGGTTAGTTTTTCAAAAGCTTGTGTAGGAGTCCCAGGACAAAATGAAAGTACATTATGACAAAACGTTTCAAGAGAAATTTCAGTCCTGGCGATAAAGTCTTAGTGATTTGCCAATCCCTGGTCAACCATTATGTTGAGTACCACGGTCCATATGTTATTGACAGAAAAATCACTGATACTGACTTTGTTGTACAAACACCAGACCATCGTAAAAAGACACAGCTTTGTCATGTCAATATGGTTAGAAAGTATCATGAAAGAAATGACAATGGACCTACTCAGTGTGTTGCCATTGTTTCTCCTGTGCACATTGCATCAGGTTGTGATACTGATGAGAATGTGACTCATGGCATTGCTGACTATGCTGGCCCTGAGCTAAACAACTCTGAAGTTTTAGCTCACTTAGATGCTAAGTTAGGTCATTTGTCATCTTAGCCAAAGGCTCAAGTGTTAAGAGTTCATTCAAGAGTTTGCTCACATATTCACGGATGTTCCTTGCCATACAGATCTGGTGTGTCATGATGTAGATGTAGTTGACGCTGTGCCTGTGACACAACATCTCTACCGGATGAATCCAATCAAGCTTAAAGCAAGGAGATTCCATATATGCTGGATAATGACATGATGTAACCAAGTCATTGTGACTGAAATTCACCTTGCATTCTTGTGCCAAAGCCTGATGGCAGTTACAGATGTTGTGCGCTGTTTCTAAAACTGACTCTTATCCAATACCAAGAATCATCAATGACATTACAGCCAATCTTGAGGGTGTTTCAAAAGGTAGAAGCTATTTCAAAATTCCAAGCTCCACCAAACAAAACGTAGATTTCCTGGTATGGCTGGTAATTAGTTTACTGTTCAAAATGTATCACATGTGGTAGGGCTCTCACTAATTTGCTGGGCAAAAAGGTGAAATTTGTTGGGGACAGCAATTGTTTGGCTGATTTGAGAAAATTAAAGTCTTTCTCATGAATTCTCCTTTTCTCCAAGCATCAAACTTTTAAAAATCTTTCAAATTACCTGAAGATGCTAGTGATATTGGTGCTGGCATAAGGCTTTAATCATCCTGTTTGTTATTATTTACACAAAACTAACCCTCCATAATCGCCTGACCTCGCATCAAGTGATTTCCACCTGTTTCCTAAACTGAAAGAACACCTTCGTGGAAAACACTATGACGATGAAGATGACCTCAAAGCTCAAATGAATGGGGTTTTCAGGGTGGCTTCAGAAAAACTTTTCCTGACTGGAAGTGAAAAGCTTCACTATCGATATGAGAAGTGTATTGAAAGGGAGATTATGTTGAAAAATATAATTTTAAACATTTTCACAATTGTTGGTTTTGTTTGATGGACCAGCCCTCGTTCATTGTTTCTGTTGAGATTCGGTAGACGCTCATTACATTGTGTTTTGATAGTGATCAGTCGTCAGGAACTTACTATATTTAGATGTTAGTGTTCTATTAAAGTTCTATTATGTACCGATTTCTGGGATAACATATAATTTCAATTTGGGAATCAACACGAAACAATGTCCAGAAGCCTTTGTTTGCCTATTTGTTAAGTTGCCACCACGCCATTATAGTCACAACAAACCAGGAACACTAACAACAAATATTATTTTTAGATCTGAACTCGGAAAGGCAAGAACAAAATGGAGGTCATTTCTAAGCAATATCGCAATGATGCAAAGCAACTGTATCGAGGTTGCAAGGGTTTTTACTTTTCCCTCCCCCTCCCTCCCTTCTGCTTTGACGTGGCCGTATCTTTAGACAGTAGGTTGTGGGTGTATAAGATTTGAATCTTACCCTTCGAAGTCCCCTCACGGTCTTCCCTGTTCATCATAATGGCGGGGATACCTGTCACCTTGTTGTCAACGTAGCTTTCCTTCTGTACCATACCGACAGTCACAGCCTGGAAAGAATTGTGATATCATCTATATTATCTACCATTACTTGTTATCATTGACAAGTCTGTATGTGAATACTACAGGCACACGGAATTGCGTATGGTTTTACGCTTGTTTTTGCAATGATCAAACCACATCACGGTGGGGACAGTAACAACTAGTAGTTGGGGAAGCAGGGTCCTCGGTTTCAGGTGCAACTACTTGAACCATTAGGCGTCCCCACCATTCCTCGGACTGAAGAAGTTGGATACATTGTTTGTACAGTGTGATCTCCTACGATAGTGGGAGTGCCAACACATCCTTTATTAATCCTAAGTGTGATGATAGATTGACAAACTGGTTTTCATGCTGTAAATACGCATGAACAGATTTCAGAACATTTCACAAATTCACCCTCTTGACGAGCCAACACCAACGAACGTTATAAGTTGGATTCATGTTTTGTTTATTGTGATCCTCGATGATACTGGGAGTGCGGTTGTGCTGTAACAACATAACAGTTTTCCTGAATGTTTGCTCCCTAGCTGCCGGAAATCTCCTGTGCATGAGTTAAAATTGTCGTTATGTAATGGTAAGCAAGACGAACCATGCCATTCGCACTCGCCATAAGGAAGATTAGACTTTGACCACTTGTGACACTCTACAGTATTTACACTATAGTCTGGTTAGAATTGTGTATAGCTTTCTAGGCCTGTTGTAGGATAATGTATCATGAATGCACTTAGACAAGTTGTGTACAGTGACAATAAGTTTTCGCGCTCTTTTGAATAGGCGCTCTTTTGAATATACTGTCACAATCAGTGTAGATATTCCCTTATAAACATTCTCAGATAAAGGTTACATGTAAAAGGATACTTCTTTCGTAACTATCGTTGTAGTATGTTTTTAAAATCTGTTTAAATGCATTACGAGCTGAAAGTTCTGAAAGTTCTGAAAGTTCTGATTATCCTAAAATGATTGCACCTTTTGTTTAACAGTATATAGTATATTTGTTAAAAGAATTGGCCTTGACCAGGGCGGTTTCACACCCAATTGACAAACTTTAGACCACATTTTACATTTAGAAGAAAAATCAATACACTCTGGCCATATTTATAGATTTTAGTAAGGCATTAAACATGGTTTGGCGAAACGGCCGCGTGCAAAAACTGAAAAATATAGCCATTAATTAGCGCATTCTAAATTTTATTCACTCCTTTCTTACCTGACAGAAACATAACAGTTAAATCACATAACACACTACCTGACATCTACCCATTGCACACACACACACACACACACACACACACACACACACATGTCCCGCCTCCACCCCCAGGCCTTCCGGCACACTTTGTGTACGTGGGTCTCAGCACTCAGAGTAGAGTCAAACACTCCTCCAAGATTCCATGCCTCCTCACTGGGTTCGATGACATGTCCACTGATTTCAAGGGCTGGAAGTGAGAATTGGTTCCTCGACAGTTTGTTGCTGAATACAAGGAATTCCGTTTTATCACTGTTTAACATTAAACAGTTTGTTGTCATCCAGTCTTTTATGTCTTCCATGCAGCCAATCATCTGAGTGAAAGCGGAATTCACTCATGATGTATTGAACGGCTTCAATGATAGATACAGTTGAGTATCATCAGTGTATAAGTGAACTGAAAGTTGACGAGATCTGACAATGTTGCCGAGAGGGGAAGTATAGACAGTAAATATAAACAGTAGACAGTAATATATAAAAGAATATCAACAGCAAAATTTGCAGATAACATTTCCCTCTGGACTTCTTCTTTTTCAATAAAAGTAAGCCCAAACTAAAATACAATCTGCTCGAAATATCATCCAAAAATGGTCTACCAAATGGGGATTGCAGATAAATACCAAAAATGTCATTGGCTTACTATTAAACAAAACTTAATGACAAATGACTCAAACAACACCTACATAATGAAGAAATTATTTTACATTCAGGATCTCAAGTGCGGACTGTCTTCTACGACGATCGCGGGCTAATCATCCATATCCATACAACTGAAAAAGTTTTAGCCAGCGCAAAAACTAATCTCAAGGTCATTCAGCACACTTCTTTTCACAAACGGCGACATTGCCTACACCAACCACCAACAGCCTTACCTCGCCTCCCTCTCGCCACAATTCTCACACATGGGTGGTGTCTGGGATTGAATTATAGGAGTCACACACAGAATTCTGGACTCAATGTTGGCGGAAACCCGCCAAAGGGATTTGATCCATGAAGTGGCATTCATGGCAGTAGTATCAGCGATTGTGAATGTGCAACCTACCATCTCAGTCTCCTAGGATCCTCAGTCGCCTGAAATTCTTACCCCTGCTACTCTCTTGATGCAGAAGACTAAACATGAGGTTAAACCAATGGAAGTTTGTAACCCCAAGGACTTGTTTTGATCACAATAGTAGAGAGTTTAATCCCTCGAAAACACGTTATGGAATCGTTGGAGACAGGAATATCTCCACACTCTACAGGCAAGACGAAAGTGGTTTCAGGATCAGCGTTACGTGCAACGATGTGATCATGTCTTACTGAATGAACAGAGCAGTGCTAGAAACGAGTGGCCAGTTGTTGAAAGGTACACCCGTTCAATTACAGAGTAGGACACACTGTTGTCTACAGATTTTGAAACTTCATATACTGTCCAGTTCAAGATGACGTCTCAAATGGAAAAAAAATGTTTTCATGTGTGAGCAAGTGAGTATGGTTTAACGCCGCCTTTAGCAATATTCCAGGAATATCACGGCGGGGGACACCAGAAATGGGCTTCACATGTGTTATATGAGTTTTTTTAAGATGTACATTTGATTTTATTATACTAAGTTGCTGAAACTTTGGTGATATATCGGTGAGTTACAGTAACAATGTTCCACAATGTACACTCCCTGACTGTCGGAACTCTCCTTTGTAATGGTAAGCTAGACGAACCATGCCGTTCACTCTCGCATTTGGGAAAATTTAGCTTTGACCACTTGTGACACACCACAGTGTGAGTATTGGCAGTATTTACACTATAGTCTGGTTAGAAGTGTTTGTGTATCGTTTCTTTGGCCTGCTGTAGCATTATATATCATGAAGTGCTCCCGCTCTTTTGAATATGCAGTCGCATTCAATCTACATGGTAAATTTCACTTATAATCCATTTTTAGATAAAGGTTTCATGTAAAAGGATACTTCTTACGTAATTATCGTTGTAGTGTGTCTTTAAAATATGCTACATAACGGGCTAAAAGTTGTTATTTTCGTTGTAAAGAAAACTACCGCAATTATCCCGAAAAATGATGACACCTATTGTTCGGTAGCGATCAGGTTAAGTAACCATTTATGTTAATATAGTCACACGCAAAAGAAACGCAAGTCGAGTATGCAGTATACATGTTATTTATTTTCAACAGTAAAAACAAGAAATACTAATAGGGCAAGATTGACAAACATTTGACTGAACACAGTTTAATGGATTAAAAGGCAGATGACATAATTGGGTTTTTTCAAATGTTAAGAGCTTACACAGTTTCGGGTCAATGCCCAAAATGTCAGTCAATACCAGGTGTGACCACCATTAGCATTGATCGCTGCCACACATCTCCTGTACATTGAGTGGATCAGGCGATTTGTGAAGGCCCTAGTGATCCTCCTGCACACGTCCAGAGCAGCTGTGCGTAGTTCATCGGCAGTTGTAGGGATTGGGCGCACATTGTGCAGACGCCTTTGAACCTCATCCCACAAGTGTTCGATGGGGTTCAGATCAGGGCTGAGGGCTGACCACGGTAGAACACGGATGTTGTGTTGTTGCAGAAAGGCTATGGTAGCTCTGGCAACATGGGGACGAGCGTTGTCCTGCTGGAAAATGTGTTGTTGATGTTGTGCAAAAAATGGAACAACGTGGGGTCTGATCACTTAGTCGATATACCGATGAGCAGTGACGACGTGTCCCCGACCTTGACCAATATTCAGAAAGCACATGGGTCCAAGTCCAATCCCTGCCCATATCATGACCCACGCTCCGAGGAAGGTCATCTGTCGTCTGTGTAGCATTGTACCGATGCAGGATACGGTAAATTGTGGTTATGTTAACGTTGAAATGACGGGCAACATCTTGGACAGACTCTCCAGCTTCCAAACGTCCGATAGCCTGGTTTCTCTGAATTTGAGTTAGGCGTGGCATTGTTGACCAAGGGGTGGTAGGTCCAAGAATCGGCCACAGTTTTATACCCACTACAGTTCGTGACAGTTCGTGCATTTTCGGTTTCGCGAGAAATTGGTGCATGAATACCCACATATTCATTGAAATGGTGCGTTTTGACGATTCGTTTTTTATGTTGCGTTTTTACTCGGGGCTTCCAAAATGCATGCAAAAATATTGATAACACCATCAGGCTTCACTACATGCTAAAACTCGTATCAATTTATGGTTCCGTGTTTGTTACCTATTTGCTTAAAACCACTTGCGTTTCTTTAGCGTGTGAGTATATGTCTTTCAGCCCTGTACCCTTCATGTGAACCTCAATCTACAGAATAAACACCTTCAAATCAGATGTCACCTGTACTATCATTTCTTGAATGGAAGAGATGGAAGAGGAATGGAAGAATGGAGAGGATTAACCGACTTGTGTATCTAGTATTTACACAAAAGAGTTGAACATTTCATATCCATATTTGAACGTGATAAGGCATTTCGTAGGCAATATGTTCACAATACAAACACAAATGTTGCTGAAAGTACTTCAATGAGTACGTAGCATGACGCATACCCTCTTTGTCAGGATTGTTAGTAGAAAATATGTGTATATTGTGCAGGTTGATTCGTATGGATTCAAAAACTATCCATAAAAACAGAGCGTCATGCCCCGAAAAATAGAAACTTACAATTGACGCTGAGAAACCCGACCTCCCCGACTCGTCAGACGAGCTGTTGGAGTACACTAGTTGTACATGGATTGGTGCACGATCAAACACGAAGCTTAGATCTCTACTTTATATATATATGCATGTACGGGATTAAGTTCATGTGTGTCTTAAAGAGATACTCCAAGGTCTGCAGCCCTTTTCCATTCTAGGTCTTGACGTTGTCATTTGTGTGAAACTTGGTCATTGTCTCTGTACATGACACAGCAGGACGTTTATGAAATTGTAGGTCTTGACGTTGTCATTTGTGTGAAACTTGGTCATTGTCTCTGTACATGACACAACAGGACGTTTATGAAATTGTAGGTCTTGACGTTGTCATTTGTGTGAAACTTGGTCACTGTCTCTGTACATGACACAACAGGACGTTTATGAAATTGTAGGTCTTGACGTTGTCATTTGTGTGGAACTTGGTCATTGTCTCTGTACATGACACAGCAGGACTTTTATGAAATTGTAGGTCTTGACGTTGTCATTTGTGTGAAACTTGGTCACTGTCTCTGTACATGACACAACAGGACGTTTATGAAATTGTAGGTCTTGACGTTGTCATTTGTGTGAAACTTGGTCATTGTCTCTGTACATGACACAGCAGGACTTTTATGAAATTGTGAGTGGTGGGTGCAACCAGCAGATCAGGACACTTTTTCATCACTGATTTTCAGTGATCAATTTATATCATTTCCGTCACTATTTTGCCTTTTGCGCAGATTTAAATGTGTTAATCGAGCAGATAATCAAGACTGATTATTGTCTGGCGTTAACGTTTTCAATCGTATATATCATTACACTTGAACTGACATGCAAAAGTGGTGTTTTCATGATACCGGAGGATTTCACTTGGAACCCCACCATCCGTATCAATGGGATTTTCCTGTTTCCACATTACACCATTAAACAGTGATGACGGTGTCCAAGAAACTTCCCACACATGAAAGCATAAGTATTACCTTTTGTGTTGAGTGGCCGGCGATGGAGGAAACGTCAACTTTAGGGGCGTCATCACCGGCGATCCCGGCCTCACACAGGCGGCAGCCAACATCTTCATCATACCATATGACTGTGACTTGTTTCACTACTTTGGGCTGTAAAGTTGATTGTACCGGTCTTGAACTTGCTGAAGGAAAGGATGTTATCTTGTAATCGAATGCTTCTGAGTAAGCTGGATTTTAACACAGAGGGGCTCTTGATGATGTCGTCCATGTTATCTTAGAGCCTTATTCAAACAGAAAATACTCATATATATTGACATAAAAAATACTTCAGACGTCTCCTTATACAATTTAAGCTTGGTCTGTTAAATTGGATCCACTGAAACATCGAAGTGGTAATCCCATATTGTCATTTAGCTGTGAAATCCACTTCACTTTTGCACGTCCTTATTCTCTGTGCAGAGTTGTGTCCCTTGGACACTCCAGAAACCTATGATTGTGGGTTCGAATCCCGGTTCGCCCCGATTATGTTTCAACAAAGTGATAAACGTCTGAGGCATTCACCACTTCGGGTTTTCCTCCCTCATTAAACTGACACGCAGTGATATATCTGGAATACTGTTAAACGCGGCGTTAAACATAATTCACTCTCACCCCCTCACCCACTCACCAACTCCTTATCATTGTGATTTAAGAAAAAGGGCCTTTTACCTGAACGCTATCTGTCTAGTTATCCAAAACCTTAAAAATTATGATTTATCCGAATAAGTAAAGATTTGTACTTACATGTACATGCAGCTCCCATGACGACTTAAAACGCAATAAATATCTTTGAATTTGACTTCACTGGTCGATTAATATACCTCAGTATGGTCAAAATATTCCCTCATATGGCATATATACATACAACAGATCGTCAACATATTAGTGGTGTTGAGTAACGGGGTTTCGTGGTGCACAGTCAGATATTTTTACTTTACTCTCTGGCGATGCGTCTGTACTTGTTCGAACTTCGTACAATCAAACCTGGTCACAGGAGTGATTAACTAGCTAAAAAATCGCAACTAGCTATCGCTTACTTACAACAATAACATGACACCGTGGGAGTGAATTGATCCAAAATCAGTAATGCCTCCTGGAGTTTGCCTCCTCAAACCATGCGCTGACTAGGTTACCTGAGCAAACAAACCTGTCCGCTGGCAAGGTAACAACTGCCGTTTGATCGGCGTGTTGGCGCTCGCCTTTCTTAATCGATCGAAGGCTATAGCACAAGAAATGGGGTCACACATTACATGTTTAGTGTTTCCTAAGGATTTTAGAAGATCTCGGGAAACAGCTTCATGAAAAAACTTGAAAAGGATTTCTTGTATCAAGTTCGCCACACATGTAATATACAAATAACTACTTGTGTGTTTTACCTGTCGTAGTTGTGATGGAACATTTCCAAGATACAACCTCTATAAGAGCATGTGATGACAGGACGTACATTTATACCAACATCAAAAATGTTTCTCTGTGTTTCAGTCAACTTCACCCTCCCAATAACCATACAATCTGTTAACACCGCTGCCGTGAATAAGCCCTTCTGACAATATGGGTAATACAGAAGGCTGCAGTGTTGGGGGCGTCTTCATATTCTCCGAAAAGTTCTGGGCGGGTTTGACTAGAAGTCCAATTTACTGTCTGGGCAGCGTGTAGAGGGGGCAAGGACCCTGAGCTGATGATGAGCCTACTCAACCTGACTGTGCTAGGATCACCAAACCCTCTTTGCTGCATTTCTTTATTTTAACCTGTATATAATAATAACAATAATGCTATTTGACTTTCGTAACGTTCCAAGAGGCGTGTCTTTAGTCTTGACTTTTAAAGATGAGAGAGTAGGATTTCTGGATTTGAGTGGAAGAGAGTTCCATTGTGAAGCAGCCGCATATTGGAACGGTATTTGTTAATACCGGATGCCTTGTGATGTAAATTGTGGAAGTTGTTTGTGGGTGACCGGGTATTTGGTGGTACCATGTCGGTGTCATGTTGGAGTAAGCAGTGCGTTCGAGCCTTTTATTACCGTCTTCGCCGTGCTTGTTGTTTTGACACAGGTCCATCCATGGTACCACCCAGTATATGTAGATTGCGTCATGGAAAATGATAAATATAAAATTCTTTGGAATAGGCCCGTATACAACCTCAGACCTATCCAGGCAAACACACCTGATCTTGTCCTTTTTGATAAATCCAATGAAATCATTTATATCATTGAATTTTCTGTCTCTTTTGACACAAATGTGAATGGCAATTATGCAGACCTCGCTTTCGAAATGTCAAGATTGCATCCAAAGGACCAAGTTGACCGGAGGTTTAGTACCTCCAAATCTGTTGACTGACATTGGGAGAGTATCCGGGTTTGCTCCCTGCCCTTCTTACAGTCTTGGTAATGCAGAAGGCTGCAGTGTTGGGGAGTCTTCACGTTCTCCGAGAAATTCTCGATGGGTTCGACCAGGCAGCGCTTCCTGGGAGAAGTCCCATTCGCTGTCTGGGCTGCGTAAAAAGGGGGCAAGGACCCCGAGCTGATGATGAGCCTAACCAGCCTGACTGTGCCAGGATCACCAGAACCCTCTTTGCTACATTTGAAGAAGAAGAAGAAGAAAAATACATAATAAACAAATTGAATACATATTACAAGGAAATTACCGCCTCCGTGGTGTCTAGTGGTAGATCGTCTGCCTGGGTCAGGGGTTCGATGCCCGACCGCGTCATACCAAAAGACATTTATAGATGGTACTTGATGTTACCCTGTATGGCGCTCGGTATTGCGGGACTAAAACAAGGACTGGTCGGCTCGGAGTCAGAATACTGTGTCTGAGTGGGGTATTCATGTTAAACTGCGGCATGGTATCTCAGTGGGCTAGCACTGTAAATCGGCATCAATCCGGACTAGTACACGCAGCTACACATACACACGTCCATGCACGGCGCTGTGTAAGTGCAATAATCTTGGTCGCGACGTTAAACCCTATTTCACCTCACCACCTTAGAAGGCAATGATACTTTAGGATAACATTTGGACCTGTCAGTTTTAAAATACTTTGTTCTAAACATCAAGTAAGAATACATAGTTACCTTTAAAATATTAACGAGGTATATATCCTTTTATAATTGTAAAATATCTTCGTTACTCCATGCTGTTAACTGGCTTTTATATTCGGTTCTAAACTATACAAGACATGTACATTTCAGAAAGAAATATTTTGAAGGTGTTAAATATTTGTTTAAAAAGATCTTAAAGAATAATCTCGTCAGCAATCTAGACCAGCAGTTTGGTCAAGGTTACTCCTGTAGTATCAGGCCTATGGTATAATATTTCTTTACGTGAAACACTCTCTATAAATCAGCCATACTATTTGTGCTGTTATAGTCTATCTCGAATATAACGAGAGGTTGTGTGCCTCTTACCCTATGGGGTCAGGTAAAAATATACTTTATTAACCAAGGTGAGTATCAATCGACTGGTTCTTATGACGATTTAGTACTCCAGATAAACAGGAAACTGTAACGAGATTACATTCATCTTCCCGATGCAAGAGAGTTAAATGACTTTAAAAGTCAGTTTCAACCCTTGCCGAACTATGCAGGTATTCCTCGGCTCAATCGTCGCGTCACCTGTGGCTATTACGAGTTATGTCCCTTCTATGCCTCTCCTAAGGACCAATCAGATTCCACCTCTCGTATCACTTACATTTGCTTCAAACAAAATGGCGGCGCCCAGTCAAGACGATCTGATCGATAATCAAGCTCTATATTGTGATAAAACGAGTCTTACATCGCGAAGTGCATAAAATCACGTGAGCACCTTGTATAAAGACATGAACAGAAAATTAGAAAATATCTGTTGACAACGAGTTGGCGGTGCACATGCTTTGCAAATCCTGCAATCGACCGAAATCTGCACGATAGTTTACGAACCAGATTTCGATTTCGGTGCGCGGATTTTGATTGGACTATGCATAGACTCGTTAGTCCAGCCAAAATGTAACTCCGTAATACCAGCCTAGTTCGTCAAGGGTGGAAACTGGACTTTATTGTCAGTTAACTCCCTTGCCTCGGGAAGATGGATTACATTCTGCTCAAGTGAATGCTTAGCCATGCAAACGGACGTGACCCAAGTGGGGGACAGTGAGCGGATGTTATTCCAAACCGGTACTGCCTATACCTGGCGGATCTTACATGTTGGTTAAAGATTTTGTCAACACATACACAGTTACACTGAACAATAAGTTCACATGATCTTTATATTTGGATACTAGGAAAATAGGCTTGACGGAATTTAAAGTACCATTTTCATGAAAAACCTTAGTTAATCATTTAGAAACTTGTTCGCAATGAGAATGAGAATCCGTGTTGCTCGTTATTTCACACTTAAAATCTTGATCACCATTTCCCACAAACGCTTACAAATAGAGGTGAGGTGAGGTGAAATGGGGTTTAACGTCGCGTCCAAGATTATTGCATTTATATAGCGACGTGCATGTAAGTGTGTGTGTTTGTGTGGCTTCTTGTGCTAGTCCGGACTGATGCCGATTTATAGTGTTAGCTCACTGAGATACCATGCCGCAGTTTAAATTAATTTATTATGGGTTAAATACGGTAAGAGTTTGCCTGCCGCAGCCAGTACATGATACGTGAATATGGTGTCACGAAGTCACGTGAGGCACAAAGGCAATAGGAATCGTCTACCTTACCGTGAACTTAAATATGTTTCAATACAAGCAGTTAGTGGGAACAAGTTATCCGATGTTGCATATCGGTGCCTCAAAGCTGCTTGTTCGGCATATATTGTTATTATCAAGTGTGTGTCATCAAAAAACATTTTAAGGGTACGATATTGAATCATTTTTAACAATCACACCAAATTATTTTTCGAATAAATTTAATGCAAACGGACGTGACCCAAGTGAGGGACAGTTAGCGGATGTTATTCCAAACCCGTACTGCCTATACCTAGGGGATCTTACATGTTGGTTAAAGATTTTGTCAACACATACACAGTTACACTGAACAATAAGTTCACATGATCTTTATATTCGGATACGAGGAAAATAGGCTTGACGGAATTTAAAGTACCATTTTCATGAAAAGCCTTAGTTAATCATTCAGAAACTTGTTCGCAATGAGAATGAGAATCCGTGTTGCTCGTTATTTCACACTTAAAATCTTGATCACCATTTCCCACAAACGCTTACAAATAGAGGTGAGGTGAGGTGAAATGGGGTTTAACGTCGCGTCCAAGATTATTGCATTTATATAGCGACGTGTATGTACGTGTGTGTGTTTGTGTGGCTTCTTGTACTAGTCCGGACTGATGCCGATTTATAGTGCTAGCTCACTGAGATACCATGCCGCAGTTTAGATTAATTGATTATGGGTTAAATACGGTAAGAGTTTGCCTGCCGCAGCCAGGTACATGATACGTGAATGTGGTGTCACGAAGTCACGTGAGGCACAAAGGCAATAGGAATCGTCTACCTTACCGTGTACTTAAGTATGTATGAATGCAAGCAGTTAGTGGGAACAAGTTATCCGTTGTTGCATATCGGTGCCTCAAAGCTGCTTGTTCGGCATATATTTTGTTATTATCAAGTGTGTGTCATCAAGAAACATTTTAAGGGTACGATATTGAATCATTTTTAACAATCACACCAAATTATTTTTTCGAATAAATTTCCAACAATTACGAAATATTTTTGAGTAATCATTCTGAAAAATCCCTTACAAACTCTCTGCATTTCCTGGCTTGGAGAATGCTGGGTAAAATGTCATTGATCGACGGGGATGAGTGTGTACGTAATACCATGCAACATCAACAGGGGAGCTCACTTCGTGCTGACTGAATAGACTCATGTAATATGGGTGATAATTGATTCCTCATTTGATAGATTAACGTTGAGATTGTTGTGGATTTTCGCTTTTCACTTAAAACGCAATCAATTTCATTATTATGTTTCTGATACTGGTTTGACTCCAGAATGATGCTCAGGCTTCGGTCATGCCCAACACTGAACCACTCGTGTTCACCCAGCAGCGAAAGACTCAGATGGTCAGATGGTAATGCAAAACCCCGAATCTCCTAAAACGTAGATCTGAATGCTTGACTGTGTGTATGTTTTGTTATATTTCTTAAAAATCACCTTGGCACCATTTCCAATACTTGTATTTAATTTTCCCCAAATGTATACATACATTGTCTTCAGAATGTGAGGGTGACCATTGCCCTGGATGGCCATCCTCCTCATGTAACGGGGAAAAGGTGAAATAAAATGAAATAAAAAAAAAAAAATAAAAATACAACGTAGATCTGGTTGTAAAGTACAACATATTTTGGGTTTCTTTCATAGATCACTCACATCTGAGAAACTTCATCAGTACTTCTTAAATGATGCTTTGTGAAATAAGGATACATTTTTCATCATCTTCTGGTGTGAATACCGTAAAGTATCAATTCCGGACTGATGAGACTGAGATATGCTGTATTCATGATATTAGACACGTTACATCTCACATATCATTGCTATCGTTGTGCCAGGGGGACTATCACTGTTAAACTGACCAAAAATTTTATGACGATAAGTTTGGTTTTCTTAAGCTAACCAAGTACCTACTTTGCCACAATGCGGATGTCAACAAGAAAACAGCGTTATCACCCAGCCATGAGTGAGTGAGTGGGTTTAACACAGCTTGAAACAATATTCCAGTCATATCACGGCGTGTCAGCTTATTGTGGGAGTAAAGCTCAAAATGATACAAGGCTTAGAGGTTTACAACTCGGGTATGGTTCTGACAAACCTAGAAACGTAATCGATCGAACAGGGATTCGAACCCACGGTTATAGGAATCTGGCGTGTCCAAGGGACGCAACTCTGCACATAGACGACTGGACCTCCCGTGCCACCTACCCTAGCATGGTGTACATTAGAATTCTCTTTGTTCATAAGGTAGTGAATAATAAGAAAGTAACTGTTAACTATAAAAAAGAGTCCTGTAAAGAGATATAGGCACTAGGGTGGCTTTATTTCATGATAAAGTCTTATCAAATTTGAAAGTAATACACACAAAAGGCCCTTTGTCTGGAATAAATAACTGATGGCACCAATTTTTAGAACTCAGTCCTGATAAGTATATATTCTCTTAAATAAGCTTTTTATTCATGTACATGTAACTTCAGTAGTTTTATTTGCATACATAAATTAGCATTAACCAAAAAAAATTGAGTTGCTTGCGTACCAATACGCATGAAAATCAAAAACACAATTGACCATAATTGTCCAATGTAGCCGTTTCAGTTTAATTAACTGTATTTCCTAACACAAATATATTTACTTATCGAATAAAGGCACACACGAACTATATTGTAGTGCATAATGTACAACAACCATCCGTTACAAAACTTTTTGTACCTTTGAAAAATAACCAGTGGGATTGACCCAAGGGAGTAGTATATACTGGACAAAAAAAGAAACGCATAACTGAAATCTGTTTATCAAACTTGACTGTTATTAAAGTTGAAGGCGTGAACTCAATATAAATGCCATTGCTAACTGTGAATATTGACCTTACACTAGTTTATTGCACCCGAACACAACATTTAGTGACTTGTCGCCAAAATACAGCATCTTGAAACCTAACTGGGAGGAATTGCATGGAGAAAAAGCTGTAAGCATGCTGCACGTGCAAATATGGCTACTTAACCTTTATACCGATGGGTATAAAAATTTGGCAGTCCTGCTGAGAATCACTCTCCGATGTTCTGTATGCGTGACTCTCATGATGCCAAGACTAAATGAAGACTGTAGAAACAGAGCCATTGGACGTCTGGAAGCTGGAGGAAGTCAGACATCAGTAGCCAGGCACTTTAACGTGAGGCAGAGTACCATTTCTCGTCTGTGGCAGCGCTACAGACTCAACAACTCTACAAGAGATCGACCGAGAAGTGGAAGACCCAGGGTCACAACTGCGGCGCAGGACCGCTTCATCCGGGTGTTGCATCTTCGCAACCGGACAATCAGTGCAGCAAACACAGCTAACAATGTTCCTGGTCTTCGTAGTCTCAGCGCAAACCATCAGAAATCGTCTAAGACAGCATGGGATACGGCCTATGAGACCATATACAGAGCCCGTTCTGCGGCAACATCATCGTCGTGCACGTCTGCAATGGAGCAGAAATGTTCGACCATGGACCCTAGTGCACTGGAGAAGGATATGGTTCAGTGATGAGTCGCGGTTCATGCTGTATCGCCATGATGGTAGGATGCGTGTCTAAAGACGGAGATATGAACGCTACACTCGACACTGTATTCATGAAGTCGGCCGATACGGCGGTGGAAGTGTCATGATGTGGACAAGCATATCCGTGAATGGTAGACAGATCTGGTGCACGTACAGGGTAATTTAACTGCTGTACGCTACCGTGATAAAATCCTTCAACGTCACCTTATTCCCACCATTGACGTCAGAAGAGATACAGCAAGACAACGCAAGACCGCATACTGCACGTGTTACCATGGATTATCTTGCCCACAACAATGTTACTGTACTGCCATGGCCCTCCAAATCGCCTGATCTAAAAACCATTGAACATTTGTTGGATCTGCTAGACAGACGTGTACGACACCCGACAGCCTCAACCACTGACGCTTCAACAGCTGAACCATGCATTGATGGATGAGTGAAGAAGGATTCCACTCATACAGTCCATGCCAAGGCGGTGCAGAGCTGTGATCGATGCTCGTGGTGGTAACACCCGGTACTGACTTTGGCACAGTGCCATCACAAAACATTAAAAGACTGTTTGTAGTGTAAGAAACATGTGCCTCATCCTGTGTAAAATTTGGTTGTTGTATCTTCATTATTTATTGTGTAATCCTATTTCATTAAACATGTAATGAAACACTGATTATTCTGTTATGCGTTTCTTTTTTTGGCCAGTGTATATTGAACACCCAAAGAAAACTGTCAATACCAAATGAGAATGAACAACATTTTAGTAAATATTCAAAGTCTCAAAACATTATCTGGAGTCCTGATGCAATTTACTTTCTCATTTCAAAAAACAAAACAGTTCGTCCTCCATATCTTCAATTTGGGACAACAATCAGAATAACAATACTTCATAGTGGTCTTATTAATGACGAAAAATGTTCGCTAACATACTATCGTATGCAACATCAGTCCCTAAAAACACTTCCTGTGAACAATGGATGGGCCGGACTCATCATACTCCTGCTTGCTGATCCACATCTGCTGGAAGGTGGACAGAGAGGCAAGGATGGAGCCACCGATCCAGACGGAGTATTTCCTCTCTGGGGGTGCGATGACCTTGATCTTCATTGTCATTTCAGGAAGGGCTGTGATCTCATTCTGCATTCTGTCTGCGATTCCCGGAAACATGGTGCTGCCTCCTGAGAGAACAATGTTGGCATACAAGTCTTTACGAATATCAACATCACACTTCATGATGGAATGATATGATCTTTCGTGGATACCAGCAGATTCCATTCCCAAGAAGGATGGCTTGAAGAGGGCCTCTGGACAACGGAACCTTTCGTTGCCAATGGTTAGGACCTGACCGTCGGGAAGCTCGTAGCTCTTCTCCAATGAAGAGGAAGAGGCAGCTGCCTGCATTTCCTGTTCAAAGTCTAAAGCAACGTAAGCTAATTTTTCTTTGATATCCCTGACGATTTCTCGTTCGGCAGTGGTGGTGAAGGAGTAACCACGCTCGGTCAGGATCCTAATGAGGTAGTCTGTGAGGTCACGCCCAGCAAGATCCAGTCTCGTTATGGCGTGGGGAAGGGCGTAACCCTCGTAGATGGGAACAGTGTGGGTGATACCATCACCAGAGTCAAGAACAATACCCGTGACACGACCAGACGCGTGAAGAGACAGAACAGCCTGGATGGCCACATACATAGCTGGAGAGTTGAAGGTCTCGAACATGATCTTGGTCATCTTTTCACGTTTGACCTTGGGGTTGAGGGGAGCCTCAGTCAGGAGGACGGGGTGCTCCTCTGGATTCACACGGAGCTCGTTGTAGAAGGTGTGATGCCAGATCTTCTCCATGTCGTCCCAGTTGGTGACTATACCGTGCTCGATGGGGTACTTAAGGGTGAGAATACCTCTCTTTGACTGAGCCTCGTCACCGACGTAGCTGTCCTTCTGTCCCATACCGACCATCACACCCTGGAAAGAACAGAAAACATCTATATCATGTATGTTACTTGTTACGATCGGCCAGCTGCCTGTATGTGAATATCACAGGCATACAAAGCATACAATATTGCGTTAGTAAGGTTGTCCGACGGTTTCAGCAGTGTTCAAACGGCGGCGGACAGAAACAACAAGCAGTTGGGATCCGGGTTTCTCCGTTTGACAAGCCACCGCTTGAACCATTAGGAGTACATATTTTGTACATTGCGATCTCCTATTATAGCGGGAGTGCTATCTCGCGCCTACCCAACCTTCATTCAGGTTAATATACAAGAAAACCGGTTTTCATGCACGAAAATGCACGAACAAACTGCCTTTCAGAACATTTCACAGATTGTATTTAGTTCGTTGGTCAAACCCTTTTAAACACAACCCTGTGACAACTGTGTTCTACATGTATACAATAGAGTAGATCTTTTCATTTCCATATTTGGGCACAATATGGTAAACACATAAACCGGGGTAAGGTATTTGTAGCCGTCATGCTCTAAATACGAACACAAAAGTCATTGCAAGTAATTCATGCCGGGCATAACATACGCATCGAACTCAACAACACCGGGATTGTTAGTGAGTGAGTGAGTGAGTGAGTATGGTTTTACGCCGCTTTTAGCAATATTCCAGCAATATCACGGCAGGGGACACCAGAAATGGGCTTCACACATTGTACCCATGTCGGGAATCGAACCCGGGTCTTCGGCGTGACGAGCGAACGCTTTAACCACTAGGCTACCCGACCGCCCCCATGAAATCAGAGCGTCATGGCCTGGATAACAGAAGTTAGTTTTCAATTGACGTTGAGAAACCCGATCATCCATGCTCGTCACGTGAGCTGTTGGAGTACACCAGTTGTGCAGGGATTGGTGCACGATCAAACAGGAAGAGTAGATATATATGCTGAACAACAAAAGTCCCTGTGATATTGAATAAGATTTAATGCAAAGTTATGTTTTTTATCAATCTGAAACAATGTCGGTTTGCAACAGATAAAAGACTCCTGTAAGTGTTCAAATGGTTTAATTTGCCATACTGACTTCAGAAAATGCATGATTTCATATAAAAAAAACATGAACATGCCAAAATGTCAAATTACAAAACAATAGCGTGTGTGTCCACCTCTGGTTGCGATGCAAGCAACATATCTTCGTCTCATGGAATGGACCAGGCGTCGCACAAGGTCCTGTGAGACATCTGTCCATATCTGCTGGAGCATGTTTCGAAGTTCCTGGAGTGTCTGTGGAACACGTGGTTGACGTCGAAGGCGCCGATCCATCTCATCCCATGTGTGCTCGATTGGTGAGAGATCAGGGGCGCGAGTCGGCCAGGGGATGACATTCACGTTGTTTTGTTGAAGAGAATCCTGAACAAGTCGAGCAATATCAGGCCGGGTGTTGTCATGTTGAAAGGTAATGCCTGGGCCACGACGACGCAAAAACGGTAGAACAACAGGGCTGATGATCTCGTCGCAGTAGCGCTGTCCATTGAGATTTCCCTCTACCACTAGCAAACGGGTCCTCTGTCTTGCTGTAATCCCACCCCATACCATAACGAGGGAGCCCCCGAACCGATCTTCTTCCATGACACAATTATTGACGTAATGTTCACCTCGACGTCGGTACACTCGAATCCGTCCATCGCTGTGGCTGAGGTGAAAACGAGACTCGTCAGTGAATAGAACTTGTCCCCACTGCATGGCCGTCCAGCGTAGAAGCTGTCTGCACCACTGTAGACGTGCTTGACGGTGGTTGCCTGTCAAAATGGGACGTCTGGTGGGTCTTCTGGCGACAGTCCCTGCACATCTGAGGCGGCGACGTACGGTTTGTGAAGATATTCTTCGAAGGCCAGGGATGCTTCTCGCAGTCACTGTTACTGGCTGGAATCGATTTCGTAGGTGTGTTGTTTGAATCCAGTTGTCTTGTCGATTATTGGTTATTGCCACTCTGAGGATGGTCTCTGACTGCATTCGCCTGTTGCCAACGTTGCCATAAACACCAAATGGTGTTTCTGTGGACACCAAATTGTTTTTCTGTGGACGTTTAATTGTCTTGCAACATCACGTTGACTCGATCCTGCTTCAAGCATACCAATGGCTGACAGACGCTCATTTTCGGACAGGCGTGGCATTTCGTAATGTTGAATAATTGCGTAATTTTGTTGTTTTTCTGAGTGGTTGTCAGCACGATGCTAAACAATGCATATGGAATCCCGTTAACGCACATGTTTTTATACCCATTCTTGGGTAGTGAAATGCATGGGGCTTGCATAAAAGTCAACTTTTGCATGGTATGCATGATTTTCTGTAGCAGGTGCGTTTTGTGACTTGATTCAATACATGTACTACAAAATTGAAAAACAAACTTTACTTGTTTGAAATATAAACTAAAATATTGGTGTCACGGGAACTTTTGTTGTTGAGTTTATATATACAGAGAGAGTGATATATAGATAGATAGACAGACAGACAGACAGATATACAAATAGATACAGACAGACAGACAGATATAGATATAGAAGTAGATAGATAGATATTGACAGACAGACACACAGACAGACAGATAGAGAAATAGAAATAGGTAGACAGACAGACAGACAGACAGATATAGATAGATATTGATATAGATAGGTACAGGTAACTGTGAGTCACAGCAGAACGTGTTTGCCCTTTTCGCGAACACCTGGCGTCATAACTGTTTTGCAGTGATCCATTCATTTGAAATGAAGGAAACCTGTTTCAGCAGATAATCGAGACTGGTTATTGTCTGGTGTTGACGTTTTGATGTACATATATTATATTTGAGCTGGCATGCAAAAGTGACGTTTCACCACTTCACTGAAATTTGCTAGAACTGCCAAACCGACCGTTGTTTTGCTTTAACAGAGATGACTAAACGTAGTATCTGTACCAGATGCATCATATTCACACAACATGAGCCGATGCGTTGGAGATATATTGAGTGTTTTGTCGTTACTTGTCTTTCTATAACATTGTTTGTCAATGCTTACGATGGTTCTGTAATCAGAAGCCACCATGGCCCATTATGGCGACCTGGTTTTTTCCTCCCACATAACATCATCAGTAACCTCCAGTAAGTAAAACCGCTTCTATTGAAGAAGTGGCATTCATATAAAGTCACGGAACTTACATACATAAGGATAGTAGAATTCTAAATGGTTCGATAATCGCCGGATAATCGCAACTTGAATAGGTAACTGAAGAGCTTAGAGTTATTTTCAATACTGCCACTGGAAAGAGCGACCTTCATTACCTGATACATACTGAGGCACCGGAGTGATGCGGAAACTGCTTGGTGAGAGCTAGTTGGAGGCGCTTGCTCTGTGAAACTTATTATACCAAGAAACAATCTTATACAGTGAACCCTCGTTAATCTGAAAGACAATTTCTGACAGTATCTGTCTACATTTACACAAAGGACATTTCATTATAAAAATGACTCGTAAACCGGATATCTAAAAAGCTGGAGGATTTCTTACTTGGAGCGCCAACGGGTCCGTGAACCTTCACAAAGATCAAGTATAATTACCTGATGTCTTGGGCGGCCGACGATGGAGGGGAAGACAGTTCTGGGAGCGTCGTCACCGGCGAACCCGGCCTTGCACATGCCGGAGCCGTTGTCGATAACCAACGCAGCAACATCGTCGTCGCACATTTTTGCAGAAATGTATAAAATGTGTTTCACTTCTGTGGGGTGTAACGCTGATAGTACCAGTCTGGACTGGTGGATTTTTATACCTCTAAGTGATCAATGTATCCCTTACATGGAAAACAGACACAAGTGTCGCGTCTACATGTATACGGTCTTTGTGAAATCCGAGCGGAGCCTTGGTTAAGTTTCTTCGTGACAGTCAACACTATTTCAGTGTTAATAATCACAATCACCAGATACGATTACAGGAGATGGTCACTGGTTAAATTTTATTAAAAAAACGCTCAAAGCAAATCGTTTACATATGTTGTTTATCATTTAACCCTAATAAAATAGAAAAATCTCGTCACAAAACAGTGCTTAAGTATTTCTTGTTCAATAAGAATATGTTATTCATATAGCAAAGATTTATACACGTGAATAGAAAACTGTACTGCCACCTATTTGAAAACCCAGCCGGTGTCACTGTGTCCACAACCAACGCAGCGATATCTTCGTCACACATTTTGGCAGAAAGGTAGAAGACGTTTCACTACTGAGGGCTGTAACGCTGATAGTGGTAGTCTGAACGGGTGGATTTATACTCGGACCCCATGGTCCATGGTCCATTCATCGTATCGCGGCATTTGTGATTTCCGGTAGTTCACGCGGGACACGCCTCTTAGCGGCTGTCTATTAATGCAAATCAGTAACCAGGAAGTGCTCACTTCGTAAACAATTTCAATTTCCTCGGAATGTTCCGTCTGCTGTAAGTGAGGAGTTATTAATGTGTTGATACTTACTTCTGGCATCTTTTTTTAATATTGCCCTACCCCCATTTATTAATGACCAACGATATAACCCGCAGTTCCCCAAGTAAACTTTCTCTATCGACCTGAACTAGATCATCTGCATATTCATGGCGACTAATAAGGTAACGGAAGTTACGTAGTCCGCACATTTTTTCCCGCTCTTTGCCCAGAATCTATTGGGAGATCATAAGAGCCATAATGCCAAACTTAGAAATACGTTTTTCACTAGAAGTCAAAAGATAAATACATACTTTGGGCATAATATACTAGGAGTGCTTTTTATATATTTATTGTTGATTTTTAACATTTTTCAATTTTGGGACAAATTATTGTCATCCAATTTTTTTTTAAAACAATCTTAGAAAATCATTTCTGATATTTTGTTGGTTTTTTAAATATTTTTCTCAGACTTTTCGGTAAATATGCATTGAAAACCTATTACTGATAACACATTTAGAATTTTACTTGTGCTGTCTTTGCACATGTCTGGACAAATCACTGATGTCTGGCATGATTATACTAACTACTAAGTGGTTGGTAGAATTATGTCCTCTTTTTGTCCAATTCGGACCTCCATACACAACTTTTCTCTGTACCGCGATACGATGGATTTCTCTCCCTTGTCAAACAGAGCGCGAGGCCCGGCTTTTACTCGGAGCTACTAATGTAAATAATGAACTTTTATCAGTAAAATATGCATTGTTAGATAACATGAATGATATCTGATACAGAGAACACGAATAATCATAAATGTTAGTGAGTGCATTTTGTTCCGTTCAGCGTAATCACAAGTCCCGTGATACCCCGAGGTTGCAGGCTATATACCTCAATCTGGTCAGTGCATCCCCTTATATGGCACACAGACATACAACAGATCGGCAACATGTTAGTGTTTTGTTAAACATGCTTTAGTTGTACACAATCAGACATTCTCGGGAAAGAGGAGTACAATGTATTGTGAAACATTAAACATGCCTCGCATGTATCTATTGGAAAACGGCCTGGCGACGTGTCTTCACGTGTACCATCTTTGTACAATCCAACCAGAGCACAAACGTTAACGTATGACCCATTAGTGGAGAAAATTTAGAGTTGTGCCTTTAGTATTGACCAGGATTTGCGGTCGTTTCAAATATCTTTAAATTGGGTTTTAACAATTTATAGTTGTGTGACATCTTCCTAAACTAAGGCCTCAAAGACCATGAGATCTTATGCGATCTTCACACTTAGACAACCCTGACACCTCGGACCAACTTAGGATTGCTAAAATCAATCTTCAATTTTGTACCATAACAACAAAGATGGCGACTTTTATTAAGGTGTGCATGGAAATGCGTCGTCTGCTAAACATGACCAAGGGAGGCCACTCTAAGGGAAACGTTTGTATCTTCGTGGCTGAAGATTCCAATCTTTGTTAAGATCGGCTACTTGTAAAGTTACAATCACCCTCAGATCGTTTTGTGGAACGGGTGTAAACCTTAGCTAAGACGATTTTAAAATCGACGTAAGTCTCTAAGATTGATTGTAGTTACGATCGCTTTGTGGAACGGGGCCCAGGGCGTACTTAAAGGAAGCTGCATGAGCGTAGGAGATATAATGTTATCCTGACACTTATTGTTTACTGTTTACACTGACCGACAGTCAGGGATAATACACCCGCGGTTACACAGTCGGCTGTCGTTGTGCCAGGGAGACTATCACTGTACAGACTGTATAGTTTCCATACATTTGTGGACAATTCCTTTTGACATTGGTATCCCCGCGGTCTATGACGACGCGTGTTTCGCTGTGCAGAGTGCGCCCCTTATCCGTGCAAGGATTCGCTCAGAATCCCAGATTCGCTAACAGCATCATGTTTATGCTTGTGGGTTTCGTGGGTCCCAATTATTGTATTACTTGTTGTTGGAGACGACTAAATTGAATCGGGTCATCAGGTTACTTTGATTGCTTGACGTCGTTTTCCGACGATATTGGCTAGTAATATGAATCACTACAACCGGGTTAAAGGAACTTTGATACCTGTTTCAGTAATACTAGTAATCAACTAGTCTGTTGCCGGAGTTGACGCCACAAATACCACGTATACAAGTGGATTGATTGAACGGGTATGCAGCGATCAGTGTAAGGTATCATGTTGGTAACATACCGAAGGTGTAAATGTGTAGTGTTGTATCGATAATTGAGATATAATCTCTGTACCAGATCAATAACCATAAGCTTCACTCCCAAACAGGATGTGGTGTATATGTGAATGCGTTGACAATAATAAGTAAAGCGACAAAACCCTTTCCACATCCAATAGAAATCTCTGCATAAAGCAGAGTCGATTGTACGATTCCGACTATATCATGAGCATGTGTTTATGAATCACTATCAAATAGTGATGATACCTGGTGTTCGCGAAAAGGTGAGCGTATCCTGCCCCACCGGTGGCACCCGTCATAAACACATGCAAAGGCAAGTCAGCTGTTCACCTGAAAACATCTTTATATTCTCATATGATTCATCTGAATATGTATGCATTAAGTTTTGTTTATGTACATGTATATCGGGGTTTTCTTTCGAATATTAACAAACACACATTGAGGTGGATATTTTGATATTTTAATAATCAAGTACCTACTTTGCCACAATATGGATGTCAAAGGAAGGGATGATGAATATATACGCTCTCTTGTGACAAGAGATAAACAGCTAAAATGTAAAACAAAATAGCAATCAAAGTTACTTATCCTACTAAAACAACCAGAAAAGCTGCATAAATGTATCCAAAAAAAAGGAACATAAATCATCATTGGAACAAACGATCAGAAGAACAATGTTTAATAGTGGTCTTATCAATGATGAAAAGAATTCGCCAAAATGTCCTCATCGTATGCAACGTCAGTCCCTAAAAACACTTTCTGTGAGCAATGAACCGGCCGGAATCATACTCCTGCTTGCTGATCCACATCTGCTGGAAGGTGGACATCAAGGCAAGGTTGGAGCCACCGATCCAGACGGAGTATTTTCTCTCTGGAGGAGCAATGACCTCGATCTTCATTGTTGCTCGAGCAAGGGCTGTGATCTCCTTCTGCATTCTGTCGGCGATACGGGGGAACATGGTGGTACCTCCTGAGAGAACAGTGTTGGCGTACAGGTCTTTACGAATATCAACATAACACTTCATGATGGAACCATATGATGTTTCGTGGACACCAGCAGATTCCATGCCCAAAATGGATGGCTGGCAGAGAGCCTCTGGACAACGGAACCTCTCGTTACCAATTGTGCTGGTATGATCGTCGAGAAGCTCGTAGCTCTTTTCCACGGAGGAAGAAGTCGCAACAGTAGCCATCCCCCGTTCGATGTCAAGTGCCACATGGGCAAGTGTTTCCTTGATGTCCCTGGCAATTTCTCTCTTGGCAGTGGTGGTGAAGGATGAACCACGCTGGGTGAGGATCTTCATGAAGTATTCTGTCAGTTGATGCCCAGCGAGATCCAGTGTCGCTATGGCGTGGGAAGGGTGTAAACCGTAGATGGACATAGTGCGGGTGAAACCATCACCAAAATCAAAAGCAATGCCCGTCGTAGGACCAGAAGCGTACAGAGACAGACTAGCCTGGATGGCCACATACAAAGGTGGAGAGTTGAAGGTCTCGAACATAATCTGGCATTCAAATTTGCTATAACTGTCAAATGGCCTGAGCCTTGTCATTAATACTAGTAGTCAGGACCAATTATTCTCTGGCTTTGACGTTTTGTACGAAAACCTAATGGTGTCACTTCCTCGTTATATCAATTTTGTAATTGAATTTTCTCTCATTATTTCGATTATGTTCTCGTAATTTCGATTATTTTCTCGAATTTATCGTTACTTCCAATCATTTTCTCAAGTTTCTCAAGAGATCGAAATTTCAAAAAAATAATCTAAGCAACGAGGAAAGTCATCAAGTCAGTCAACGGGCATCAAGGGACCGGTGTGTGATCAAACACTCCTCCCTTTGAACCCACAATCAAAGTACTGACACGTCTGAGGGATGTATTACGGACACCAGTGCCCCACCGAAAACAATGATGATATCTCACTATATACACATATTTTACATATTAGGTATACAATATATGTATGAAATAACAAAACAATTCAACTTTCTACGTAGTTGTAAAGAAAGTCAAAACATGATCAAAAACAACATCGATGGACTAGAGATGGTCCAGATTCATCGTACATATCCTTCGTCATTACAGCATCCATGAAGGAGGGTAGGGCGGCCTTCATCGAGCCCCCCACCCACGCTGACATGAGTCCATGGGGTGGGGCTCTCACGTTGACGGTAGTTCCAGCAGGTGCTACATTTTCTATCTCTTTCCGAAGGCGGTCAGAGAATCCTGGGAAAAGTGTCGACCCTCCACACAAAGCTATGTTGCCATACAGCTGACCATGGATAGAGCTGTCACACATCTGTAACGACCTTGACAAAATATCCTGTATCCCGGACATTTCCACGCCCATCAATAGAGGATTAAAAATCACCTCTGGGCACTTGAAGCGTTCGTCACCAACTGTGGTGAACGTCCCATCTGGTTGTATATAGGTTTTGTTTATGGTAGACTTGGTCATCGTATTCAGCTCGTGTTTGTAGTCATAGGCCACGTAGCAGAGCGTCTCTTTGATATCTCTGACGATGGCATACTCTGCACGGGTGGTGAAGTTGCATCCACGGTCGTTGAGCAGTTTAAGCATGTGATCTGTTATATCTCGTCCCGATATTATCGTCTTACAAACAGCGTGTGGCAAATAGTATCCTTCATATATGGGAATAACATGTGTTGTACCATCACCGGAATCCAGAACAATACCCGTCTTGTGGCCAGAGGAATGCAGGGACAGAACAGCCTGGATGGCCAAAGACATTGCGGGAGTGTTGAAGGTCTCGAACATGATCTGGGTCATCTTTTCACGGTTGGCCTTGGGGTTCATGGGAGCCTCAGTCAGGAGGACGGGGTGCTCCTCTGGATCAACACGGAGCTCGTTGTAGAAGGTGTGATGCCAGATCTTCTCCATGTCGTCCCAGTTGGTGACGATACCGTGCTCGATGGGGTACTTGAGGGTGAGGATACCTTTCTTGTACTGAGCCTCGTCACCGACGTAGCTGTCCTTCTGTCCCATACCGACCATCACGCCCTGGAAGGAAGATTGTCTGTATTTCATATGATGATTGGTTGGTTGGTTGCTTTGTTGATTAACGCCGCACTAAGCAATATTCAGCGAGCCTGACCACCCGATCCTGTAAGTCGCCTTTTACGACAAGCATAGTCACCTTTTACGGCAAGCATGGGTTGCTGAAGACCTATTCTACCCCGGAATCTTCACGGGTCTTCATATGATGAAGATATCATGATACTGGCAGTAAATATAATTATGTCACGACTAAAATGTGTATACAGTTATATACGACCTAGGCATGAGACGACATGTAACAGTTAGCAACAATTTATCAGAATTTAACATATTCACCAGGGCAAGGTCTAAGCATCATTCGCTTTGTCATGAAATCACAGTCCAATCTTTACTCGTCTCTTCAAAACATGCATTCATTGTGGTTCAAAATGGTCAAAATGTCAACTCCCTTCCACTGATTTACCCTACTGAGCTGGATATAACAGACTAATACACTGCCTCATTTGTATCATGCAAAAGGTATCAGAGTATAGACAACTAAAAATATCCACAAGACTGTATGACAAGAGGGATGACATCCAACTTTCCCTTTTTGTCGAAAATTCCGGCTGAATCAACTTTCGGTGTCTACATTTCATAACTTTTTAGGTACAATCGAGCATGTTCTTTCACTGAAAAGTTCAAAGAGGGTCATAGGAGACGTGCTGAACTGTTGTTTGATCAAAGTTACAGCTTACGTTTTCGCAGAAAATCAAATACTCTGTATGTAAGTACAATTTGACCAATTGATGGAGGGGATGAGCAAAATTTCCCTGACAGATTGTGACCTTGCCGAAAGTTCATGGTTGCCAATGAGATTCTTATTTTTTTGACTGGACTCTACTGCCGTGTAAACAAAAGCGAGAAAGTGATTTCATATTCATAAAAAAACTCAGCTAATAACAAAACAACTTTCTGGGTAAAACACATGAATAATATAAATAACATTTTGTCTCTACTTCCACAACATACTGCCATAATTATAACTTTCGAATTCTCTATGGACAAAACACATGACCTTGACCTTCCAACGTGTCAAATACTACCGGAAGTACAGGATATCCTGACCCATGACACCCGCGGTGTCCTCGTTGTGATTACGTTAATCATTTTTTTACAACAATGACTGTATTTGACGATAATGTTTCCGTGCTGCAGATCAATGTGATAAGGGACTAATATGACATGGGACCGCAATATTTCATTGTATGGTGCAGCGTTACAAACTCACCCAGTCACTACCAAAACTTTTCTTCTGTTCAAGTAAGGACCCTTATAGTTATTTAACAGTTCACATGTATAGTTTTGTCATTACTGGTGCCTTGTGGAAATTCTAAATAAGATTTTCCTGGTCCACACTCGATACAGCTGGAACATGGCCGACTGTGGCGTAAAACAACACACGGGTCTCGATTGTCCGAAAAAACATATTCCATTGCCAAAATAACGGTGATAACTACACGAATGGATCACTGAAAATCAATGACGACACCGGGTGTCCTGTCCTACCGCGCGTACAAATGTACAAATACAAGAATATATTTGTTGGTTTTAGACCTGTCCCCTGGGCCTGCCGACAATGGACGGGAAGACACATGACGGCTGGGAGGCTCCTGCAAACCCCGCCCTGCTCGTGCTCGAACCGTTGTCCATGACAACAGGGGAAGATAATTCAGCCATCGTCCTGAAAAACAAAAAAATATTGACAAACCGTATACTAGTATGTGGCACATAACATGCCTTAACATGTTGCACTTACTCCTCTAACATGTTGCACTAACTCCTTTACCATGTTGCACTAACTCCTTTACCATGTTGCACTAACTCCTTTACAATGTTGCACTAAGTCCTATAACATGTTGCACTAACTCCCCTAACGTGTTGCACTAACTCCCCTAACGTGTTGCACTAACTCCCCTAACATGTTGCACTACCTCCCCTAACATGTTCCACTAACTCCCCTAACATGTTGCACTACCTCCCCTAACGTGTTGCACTAACTCCCCTAACATGTTGCACTAACTCCCCTAACACGTTGCACTAACTCCCCTAACGTGTTGCCCTAACTCCCCTAACATGTTGTACTAACTCCCCTAACATGTTGCACTAACTCTCCTAACGTGTTGCACTAACTCCCTTAACATGTTGTACTAACTCCCCTAACATGTTGCACTAACTCCCCTAACATGTTGCACTACCTCCACTAACGTGTTGCACTAACTCCCACAACGTGTTGCACTTACTATCCTAACACGTTGCACTAACTCTCCTAACATGTTGCACTAACTCCCCTAACGTGTTGCACTTACTCTCCTAACGCGTTGCACTACCTCCCCTAACGTGTTGTACTAACTCTCCTAACGTGTTGCACTAACTCCCCTAACATGTTGCACTAACTCCCCTTACATGTTGCACTAACTCCCCTAACATGTTGCACTAACTCCCCTTACATGTTGCACTAACTCCCCTAACATGTTGCACTAACTCTCCTAACATGTTGCACTAACTCCCCTAACATGTTGCACTAACTCTCCTAACATGTTGCACTAACTCCCCTAACATGTTGCACTAACTCCCCTTACATGTTGCACTAACTCCCCTAACATGTTGCACTAACTCCCCTAACATGTTGCACTAACTCTCCTAACGTGTTGCACTTACTCCCCTAACATGTTGCACTAACTCTCCTTACGTGTTGCACTAACTCCCCTAACATGTTGCACTAACTCAACTAACGTGTTACACTAACTCCCCTAACATGTTGCACTTACTCCCCTAACGTGTTGCACTAACTCCCCTAACATGTTGCACTAACTCCCCTAACATGTTGCACTTACTCCCCTAACGTGTTGCACTAACTCCCCTAACGTGTTGCACTAACTCCCCTAACATGTTGGACTAACTCCCCTAACGTGTTGCACTAACTCCCCTAACGTGTTGCACTAACTCCCCTAACGTGTTGCACTAACTCCCCTAACATGCTGCACTAACTCCCCTAACATGTTGCACTAACTCCCCTAACATGTTCCACTAACTCTCCTAACGTGTTGCACTAACTCCCCTAACATGTAGCACTAACTCCCCTAACGTGTTGCACTACCTCCACTAACATGTTGCACTACCTCCCCTAACGTGTTGCACTAACTCCCCTAACATGTTGCCCTACCTCCACTAACATGTTGCACTAACTCTCCTAACATGTTGCACTAACTCCCCTAACGTGTTGCACTAACTGCCCTAACGTGTTGCACTAACTCCCCTAACGGGTTGCATAACGTCTCCATGTTGCACTCATTCACTCTAACGTGTGACTCGTGAAGATCCGGGGTAGAATAGGTCTTCAGCAACCCATTCTTGTCGTAAAAGGCGACTATGCTTGTCGTAAGAGGCGACTTACGGGATCGGGTGGTCAGGCTCGCTGACTTGGTTGATGCATGTCATCGTATCCCAGTTGCGTGGATCGATGCACATGATGTCAGTCACTGGTTATCTGGTCCAGACTCGATTATTTAACTGCCGTCATATGGCTGGAATATTGCTGAGTGCGGCGTTAAACAACAACCAAACAAACAAATAAACAAACAAACACACCAACGTGTTTCACTAACTCCTATAACACCTCGGGGGGTGGTCCCAGTCGTCAGAAGCCTGGCCTGCAAAGAGACGTTCTCAGCTAATCCCTTGTCAATCCTTTCCCCACTGAGTGGGAGGCACCTGCTAAATATAATCTTAATATGGACTCCCGTGTTTTGAACATGTTCTCGTTTGTGAATGTAGTTACGATGCTGTACGTAAAGTCGTGACACCGGTCCCAAGCATATAACACTGTGTCTGTGACAGAATAAGAATGTGGCTCATCGATCTTGTCGCTGGGGAACCACTGACATGAAAACAGGCGGTCAAAGTAGGAAGTTATAAAATATGTCATAGAAGTCTGTGACAGAATAAGAATGTGGCTCATCGATCTTGTCGCTGGGGAACCACTGACATGAAAACAGGCGGTCAAAGTAGGAAGTTATAAAATATGTCATAGAAGTAGGTCATGTAAGGGAGGCGACTCTGACATACACATACCGAACATCGCCCACTATGTACAGCCGAATATGTATGACCCAAGTATAACATCGTTCTAACTAGCCCGATATCATTCTCCCTGCCTCTTGGAACATACCTGACCTCAGCCCCTGTAGGTGTACAGAAGACGCCCACTGTCTCAGCCTGTGCGCGGACCGCGACTTGTCACATGCTCTGCTGGCCGGTGATGCGTGAAGGCCTCTTGCGTCTGCTTCAGATTGTACGAACGCCTCTAGCGGTTCAACGATTTTGCATTGACCGATTAACTGGTGTATACATAAAACCGCCTTCCTTTACAACATCTTTTTTTTTTCTTTTCTTTTTTTCTTTTTGTGTGATACATGTATGAGGGGGTACGGGTGGCCCAGTCGTCTAAGGCGCCACGATTCGCTGTGCAGAGTTGCGTCCCTTGGGCAGACCAGAAACCTATGATTGTGGGTTCGAATCCCGGTTCGCCCCGATTATGTTTCTAGGTTTGTCAGCACCTACCGTCTCTCGTCTGAGACCCGTATCACTTTGGTCTTTCCTCCCAGATTAAGCTGACACGCCCTGATATAGCTCGAATAGTGTTAAAAGCGGCGTTAAAACCAATTCACTCACTCACTCTTGCGGTTTCACACTATTTTAAATTGACCGATTAACTGGAGTATGAATAAAACCGCCTTCCTTTTCAACAGTTTCACATTTTTGTGATTTTGTGTTGGTTTACTTTTTATGAATATATCTACCTTCATAATTCAGTTTCTCCTTATTCCATCGTGAAACACGCAAACATACCCTGGTATATGAATAATCAGTCAATATCATATTGACTTGAACAACCCGTTTTACATCGACGTGAAAATGTGCAAAATTTCAATGGAAAAATTAAACGTTTTGGTGACTGTACAAACCAAACGCCCAACTATGTATGAAGTTTGGGAGGAATGTCTGTCTGTCTGTCTGCTCGTTTTTCTCTCGCGTGAATAAATATTTGTTTTTCCAATTTTCCACATGTAGTGGAGGTTAAGGATGTCATTCTTTTAGTTATGGTGTCTTTAGTTGCCGTATAGGGTGTTATATTAAATGAGCAGAAAAAAATAATGGGCGAGGCGTGAGTCGAGCCAAATATTTTTCTGCTAACCTAATATGACACCGTATACAGCAACTAAAGACGCCATAACGAATTTATGATGCCGAAACGTTTACACTCTCTGATATCCATATCCATATACACTTACAACAGCTCGTTGAAGGTTAAGGGTCAAAGGGAGACTACTCTTCAAACTTTAGAGGCCAAACCATGTTGAATTTTTAACCATAATCTTTATCAATAAAGTCAAGAACGTGATCTAAAACACAGATTAATGTCCTTGCACGCCACAGTTAATGATAGTAAAACACACAACAGTGTCAAATAACGAATTTCGGTGCCAGAAGTTTCATGTGAAATATGTGAGGGTGGTGTTGGAAAATCTGTTACTGACGGTATACGGTCTCAGGTCAGTAACAACCATCTTGGATTATACTGAGGGTATACAGTTTCATGTGGGGTTAGTAGTTTTGCTCACTGATTGGTCAATCTCACATTGAGGCATAATAATGTGTATTATCAAGCAACAAGGGCTGACGTGTAGCCATCTCCACCAATACAAGTTACCCAATATATGTTACTGTATCAATGAATACAAATATTTAGCTGTATTGTTGGTATATGACAGGTGCGATACATATCAAGCCATCAATACCAAATGAATGATAACATGTGAGTAAATACACAAAGGCTCCTGATGCAATTTACTTAGTTATTTCAATAACAAAACAGTTGCACTCCGTATCTTCAGATTTGGACAACAATCAGAAGAACAATGTTTAATAGTGGCCTTATCAATGATGAAAAGTATTCGCTAAAATGTCACTATCGTGTCCAACTTCAGACCCTAATAACACTTCCTGTGAACAATGGATAGGCCGGACTCATCGTACTCCTGCTTGCTGATCCACATCTGCTGGAAGGTGGACAGAGAGGCAAGGATGGAGCCACCGATCCAGACGGAGTATTTCCTCTCTGGAGGCGCGATGATCTTGATCTTCATTGATGCTGGAACAAGGGCTGTGATCTCCTTCTGCATTCTGTCGGCGATACCGGGGAACATGGTGGTACCTCCTGAGAGAACAATGTTGGCATACAAGTCTTTATGAATATCAACATCACACTTCATGATGGAGTTGTATGTTGTTTCATGGATACCAGCAGATTCCATACCCAAGAAGGATGGCTGGAAGAGGGCCTCTGGACAACGGAACCTCTCGTTGCCAATGGTGATGACCTGACCGTCGGGAAGCTCGTAGATCTTCTCCAATGAAGAGGAAGAGGCAACAGTCTGCATTTCCTGTTCAAAGTCTAAAGCAATGTAAGCTAACTTCTCCTTGATGTCCCTGACGATTTCTCGTTCGGCAATGGTGGTGAAGGAGTAACCACGTTCAGTCAGGATCCTAATGAGGTAGTCTGTGAGGCCACAACCAGCAAGATCCAGACTCGTTATGGCGTGCGGAAGGGCGTAACCCACGTCAATGGGGACAGTGTGGGTGACACCATCACCAGAGTCAAGAACAATACCCGTGACACGACCAGATGCGTGAAGAGACAGAACAGCCTGGATGGCCACATACATAGCTGGAGAGTTGAAGGTCTCGAACATGATCTTGGTCATCTTTTCACGGTTGGCCTTGGGGTTGAGTGGAGCCTCAGTCAGAAGGACGGGGTGCTCCTCTGGGGCCACACGGAGCTCGTTGTAGGTGTGATGCCAGATCTTCTCCATGTCGTCCCAGTTGGTGACGATACCATGCTTGATTGGGTACTTGAGGGTGAGATTATGTCTCATTGACTGAGCCTGGTCACCGACGTAGCTGTCCCGTCCCATACCGACCATCACACCCTGGAAAAATTGATGACAACATATATATTCTGTACAATAACTTCTTATCATTGTCAAACCTGCATGTGAATATCACAGCCGTACTCCACTGACAATAAAAAAAATAGAATGACCAATATGTCATATTGTAGCTGGCAAAAGTGGTGTGTTCAGGACATGATTCAAATGTGCTGAAACTACTAAATGGCTTGAGCCTTTTCTGCAAATAACTCAATCCCCCTTCAATAACCCCAGTCACAGTTTGGGGAGATACATATACAGATTTAAAACTCTATACATGAAATCAGAGTGTCAATAACAGACGTTTTCAATTGACGCTGAGAAGTCCGATCTCCACGGCGCGTCACAACACCTATACAGCCTATATACTCAGGAACAGAATGGGGCGTGTGAGTGAGTGAGTGAGTTGGGTATAACACCGCTTTGAACAGTATTAAAGTTATATCACAGCGTGTCAGTTTGATGTTGGAGCAAATCCTGAAAGTGATGCAAGTCTCAGGCGTTTACCACTTTGGTGAAACCCACTAGCAAGGGTATGATGCTGATAAACCTACAAATATCGAACCGGAATTCAAACTCACGGTCATAGGATTCTGGCGTGCCCAAGGGACGCAGCTCCACGATCTAAAGCCCCTTTCCATTTTTTTTTGTGAAACTTACTCATTGTCTCTGTCTTGGTAACTGCAAGAATTTCAAGAAAATTGTGTGTGAAAGTGAATATAAGTTACATCATCACATTAACGCAACCATCATTTTGGAACCAGAATTTCACAATTATTTTCAATAAAATATATACTCAACAACAAAGCTTCCTGTGACACCAATGTTTTAGTGTATTTTTCAAACAAGTACAATATTGTAGTACATCTATGGAATCAAGTCACAAAAACGCAACTGCTGCAGAAAAGCATGCATTCCATGCAAAAGTTGACTTTTATGCAAGCCCCATGCATTTCACTACCCAAGAATGGGTATAAAAACATGTGCGTTAACGGGATTCCATATGTAATGTTTAGCATCTTGCTGACAACAACCACTCAGAAAAACAGCAAAATTACGCAATTATTCAACATTACGAAATGCCACGCCTGTCCGAAATAAGCCCCTGCGAGCCATTGGTCTGCTTGAAGCGTGATCGAGTCAACGTGATGTTGCAAGACAATTTAACGTCCACAGAAACACCATTTGGCGTTTATGGCAACGTTGGCAACAGACGAATGCAGTCAGAGACCATTACGCAGGCCACGCGTAACCAGTAATCGACAAGACAACTGGATTCGAACAGCACACCTACGAAATCGATTCCAGCCAGCAACAGTGACTGCAAGAGGCATCCCTGGCCTCCGACGAATATCGTCACGTCGTCGCCTCAGATTTGCAGGGATTGTCGCCAGAAGACCCGCCAGACGTCCCATTTTGACAGGAAACCACCGTCAAGCACGTCTACAGATGTGCGTCTACGCTGGACGGCCATGCAGTGGGGACAAGTTCTATTCACTGACGAGTCTCGTTTTCACCTCAGCCACAGCGATGGACGGATTCGAGTGTACCGACGTCGAGGTGAACGTTACGTCAATCATTGTGTCATAGAAGAAGATCGGTTCGAGGGCGGCAGCGTTATGGTATGGGGTTGGATTACAGCAAGACAGAGGACCCGTTTGATAGTGGTAGAGGGAAATCGCTATTGATTTGTAAATTGACATTTTTGCATGGGTTTTTTTTATGAAATCACACATTTTCCGAAATCAGTATGGCGAATGAAACCATTTGAACACTTACAGGTGTCTTTAATCTGTTGCAAACCGAAATTGTTTCAGATTTGGTAAAAAACATAACTTTGCATTAAATCTTATTCAATGTCACGGGAACTTTTGTTGTTAAGTATACAATCACGGGTTATTGTCTAATAATACTCGCTGGCCTACAAAGAAATACCAGTTTTTTAATATTTCATGTCATTTCTTCTTTGTTGTCGTGTAATTATGTATCTGTTAACATCACCTTGTAGTTGGGTGTAAGAACAGACGATTTAACCTCTTACAACAATGACATAATGTGTGTTAAACAGCAATCGGCTGCATGCATACCAGTTTAAATACAAGAATATGAACACATCGGGTTAACTTACAGTGAAATGTCACAGCGGTATAAAACGAATTCGATGACAGGGAAAGGCCTCGAAGTAAAATACTAACACCACCTCCTCGGTGGAGGAGGGACGAAAGCCCTAATATCCCAGTGCCCCGAGCTTACATTCTCAGTCAAAACTGGGGCGACTTTTTATCCAACTTATAAACTGTCTAAAAGAAATGCCAGAAAGAATGAAAAAAACCAGGATATGTTATATTGAAACAATAGAAAAGGATATAATAGGAATTCGATAAAAGCGTGCGAGACAAAGACAACGGGCAGCATGCACACAACTGAACTTCTGACATATAAGATTGAACACCCTATCATCACCTGCCCGGATGGCTCAGTGGGAAAATGGTGGGTTACAAAACAAAACAGGTTCGATTCAAGTCCATTTTTATGTGCGAAAGAATGTGACTTTTAACAAATCAAAGATCAACATTAGATTCATATGAAAAGGCCAGTATATAAAATTCAACAGAATAAACATGATCTCACAATTCAATTAATGCTGGGGCATTTCCTTCCGAATGCCAAGGGCATAGCAAAGGAAATTTGTTCATGTCTTCACACAATATAAACAATTGCTTTTTCAATTTCAATTACTATGCATTCTTTGAGAAGTACAGTTAGAACTGATTTTGGTTAATTGTAACTCAATTACTTAATAAAAGTAACACAGGAACTTCGAGTTTTATAAGTAATATAAGTAACACAGGAACTTTCAAAGTTATAATTATTATTGCCACCTTCAAAGAGAGAGCGTTAAAACTTTCTTAACAAACAATTATCATTATATGTTTTCTACAAATAATGACATTGCTCCGAGCTGGCGACCTTCACTTGTCTGCATCGACTTCTACAGAGTCAGGCCCCAGGTTGACGCGGTCACTACTTGGTGAGAGCTGGTTGGTGCCTTTTGCTCTGCGACGGTTATTACACCCAGAAAGAATCATATCTCATTAATCCGAACCCTGAATTCAGGATTGTTTGGCAATACCAGTCTGCATTTACACAAAGAACATCTCTTTATAACAATGACTCGTTAATCCGGACATCTATAACACGGGATGATTTCACTTGGAACCCCACCGTCCGTATTAACGAGGTCCTGTACACCTATAGCTCACTAGTAAACAGTGATGGCAATGTCCAAGAACCTTCACACACATTTAAAGAATACTTACCCGATGTGTTGGGTGGCCAACGATAGAGGGGAAGACAGCTCTGGGGGCGTCGTCACCGGCGAACCCGGCCTTGCACATGCCGGAGCCGTTGTCGATAACCATCGCAGCAACATCGTCGTCACACATTTTGGCAGAAATGGATAAAATGTGTTTCACTTCTGTGGGCTTTAAAGCTGATAGCACCAGTCAGGACTGGTGGATTTTTATACCTCCAAGTCGTCAATGTATCCCTCATATGGAATACAGACACAAGTGATCGGCAACATAATAGTGTTTTGGTTAACAGGCTTTTGAGGGGCCACACAATCGGATTCTCTCGGGGAGTATCTGCCATTCTCAATACTACATTCACGTCTCTCTTGGAAAACTGTTTTGTCGCGTCTACATGTATACGGTCTTTGTGAAATCCGAGCGGAGCCTTTGTTAATTTTCTTCGTGACAGTCAAAATATTTCAGTGTTAATAATCACAATCTCCAGAGACGATTACAGGAGATGGTAACTGGTTAAATATTATTAAAAAAACGCTCAAAGCAAATCGTTTACATATACTGTTTATCACTTAACCCTAAGAAAAAAAGAAAAATCTCAGTTTATACTGTGTTATGTTGGAGAAAAGGGCGCGTTCAATCGTCACAACACTGTGCTTAAGTAAGAATGTGTTATTCATAGAGCAAAGATTTATACACGTGAATAGAATACTGTACTGCCACCTATTTGAAAACCAAGCCGGTGTCAGTGTGAGCTCCTCATGCATAATCAATATAATCAACAGTCATAAACAAACTGTTGCCCTGACCATGACCAAACGTGTTGCACTAACTCCCCTAACATGTTGTACTAACTCCCATAACGTGTTGCACTAACTCCCCTAACATGTAGCACTAACTCCCCTAACATGTTGCACTAACTCCTCTAACGTGTTGTACTAACTCCTCTAACGTGTTGTTCTACCTCCACTAACATGTAGCACTAACTCTCCTAACATGTTGCACTAACTCCCCTAACGTGTTGCACTAACTCCCCTAACATGTTGCACTTACTCCCCTAACACGGTGCACTAACTCCACTAACTTGTTGCACTAACTCCCCTAACATGTTGCACTAACTCCCCTAACATGTTGCACTAACTCCCATAACGTGTTGCACTAACTCCCCTAACATGTTGCACTAACTCCTCTAACATGTTGCACTAACTCCCCTAACGTGTTGCACTAACTCCCCTAACATGTTGCACTTACTCCCCTAACACGGTGCACTTACTCCACTAACTTGTTGCACTAACTCCCCTAACATGTTGCACTAACTCCCCTAACATGTTGCACTAACTCCCCTAACATGTTGCACTAACTCCCCTAACGTGTTGCACTAACTCCCCTAACATGTTGCACTTACTCCCCTAACACGGTGCACTAACTCCACTAACTTGTTGCACTAACTCCCCTAACATGTTGCACTAACTCCCCTAACATGTTGCACTAACTCCCATAACGTGTTGCACTAACTCCCCTAACATGTTGCACTAACTCCTCTAACATGTTGCACTAACTCCCCTAACGTGTTGCACTAACTCCCCTAACATGTTGCACTTACTCCCCTAACACGGTGCACTAACTCCACTAACTTGTTGCACTAACTCCCCTAACATGTTGCACTAACTCCCCTAACATGTTGCACTAACTCCCCTAACATGTTGCACTAACTCCCATAACGTGTTGCACTAACTCCCCTAACATGTTGCACTTACTCCCCTAACACGGTGCACTAACTCCACTTACTTGTTGCACTAACTCCCCTAACATGTTGCACTAACTCCCCTAACATGTTGCACTAACTCCCATAACGTGTTGCACTAACTCCCTTAACATGTTGCACTAACTCCCCTAACTTGTTGCACTTACTCCCCTAACATGTTGCACTAACTCCACTAACATGTTGTACTAAGTCCCCTAACATGTTGCACTAACTCCCCTAACGTGTTGCACTAACTCCCCTAACGTGTTGCACTAACTCCCCTAACGTGTTGCACTAACTCCCCTAACATGTTCCACTAACTCCCCTATCGCGTTGCACTAACTCCCCTAACATGTTGCACTAACTCCCCTAACGTGTTGCACTAACTCCACTAACATGTTGCACTAACTCCACTAACATGTTGCACTAACTCCCCTAACGTGTTCCACTAACTCACCTAACATGTTCCACTAACTCACCTAACATGTTGCACTAACTCCCCTGACATGTTGCACTAACTCCCCTAACATGTTGCACTAACTCCCCTAACGTGTTGCACTAACTCCCCTAACATGTTGCACTAACTCCCCTAACATGTTGCACTAACTCCACTAACATGTTGCACTAACTCCACTAACATGTTGCACTAACTCCCCTAACATGTTCCACTAACTCACCTAACATGTTCCACTAACTCACCTAACATGTTGCACTAACTCCCCTGACGTGTTGCACTAACTCCCCTAACATGTTGCACTAACTCCCCTAACGTGTTGCACTTACTCCACTAACATGTTGCACTAACTCCCCTAACGTGTTGCACTAACTCCCCTAACGTGTTGCACTACCTCCCCTAACATGTTCCACTAACTCCTCTAACATGTTGTACTAACTCCCCTAACATGTTGCACTAACTCCCCTAACATGTTGAACTAACTCCCCTAACCTGTTGCACTAACTCCCCTAACATGTTGCACTAACTCCACTAACATGTTGTACTAACTCCCCTAACATGTTGCACTAACTCCACCAACGTGTTGCTCTAACTCCACCAACAAGGTGCACTAACTCCCACAGCGTGTTGCACTAACTCCCACAAAGTGTTGCACTAACTCCCCTTACATGCTGCACTCACTCTAACGTGTGACTCGTGAAGATCCGGGGTAGAACAGGTCTTCAGCAACCCATGCTTGCCATAAAAGGCGACTATGCTTGTCGTAAGAGGCGACTTACGGGATCGGGTCGTCAGGCTCGCTGACTTGGTTGATACGTGTCATCGTATCCCAGTTGCGTGGATCGATGCTCATAATGGCAATCACTTGATTGTCTGATCCAGACTAATCCCTTGTCAATCCCTTCACCACTGACGGACTGAGTGGGATGCACTGCTTAATATAATCTTAATAATATATGGACTCCCGTGTTTTGAACATGGTCTCGTTTGTGGATGTAGTTACGATGCTGTACGCGACACCGGTCCAGTGCATATACGAGCTCGTGTCTGTGACAGGATAAGAATGTGACCGAACGAACTGACCCGTGAAGATCCGGGGTAGAATAGGTCTTCAGCAACCCATGCCTGCCGTAAAAGGTGACTATTCTTGCCGTAAAAGGCGACTAACGGGATCGGGTGGTCAGGCTCGGTTGATGCATGTCATCAGAGACCATATAGTAGATGGTCTCTGATGTCAACGATCCAAATTGCGTGGATCGATGCTCATGATATTAATCACTGGATTGTCTGGTCCAGACTCGATTATTTACAGACCGCCGTCATATAGCTGGAATATTGCTGAGTGCGGCGTTAAACAACAAACCAACCAACCAACCAACGACCGAACGAACTTGTCGCCGAGCAACCACCGAGGTATCAACAGGCGGGCAAAGTAGGAAGTTATAAAATAGGTCATGAATAGAAGTAGGTCATGTAAGGGAGACAACTCTGAAATATACATACCGAACATCTCCCGCCATGCATAGCTGAATATGTATGACCCAAGTATAACATCGTTCTAACTACCCCGATATTCGCCCTGCCTCTTGGAACATACCTGACCTCTGTCCCTGTAGGTGTACAGAAGACGCCCACTGTCTCAGCCTGTGCGCGGACCGCGACTTGTCACATGCTCTGATGGCCGGTGGTGCGTGAATGCCTCTCGCGTCTGCTTCAGATTGTACGAACGCCTCTAGTGGTTCAACGATTTTGCATTGACCGATTAACTGGTGTATACATAAAACTGCCTTCCTTTTCAACATTTTTTTATGGGGGGGAGGTAGGTTTCCTTTTTATAAATATATCTACCATTAATAATTCCTGTGTTTCCTTATTCCATCGTGAAACACGCAAACATATATGATTATTCAGTCAATATCGTATTGACTTGAACAACCCGTTTTACACGCACGTGAATATGTGCAAATTTTCAATGGAAAATTAAACGTATTGGGGAATCAAATGCCCCACTAATCCGGATGTATGAAGGGTGTGAGGGGAGGTTTGTCTGTCTGTTTGTTCGTTTTTTCTCTCGCGTGAATGAATATTTGTTTTCCAATTTTCCAAATGTGGTGGAGGTTAAGGATGCCCTCGTTCTGTGTATTATCAAGCAACAAGGGCTGACGAGTAGCCATCTCCACCAATACAAGTTACCCAATAAATCTTACTGTATCAGTGAACACAAATATTTAGCTGTATTGTTGGTATATGACAGGTGCGATACAAATCAAGCCATCAATACCAAATGAGAATGATAACATGTGAGTAAATACACAAAGGCTCCTGATACAATTTACTTAGTTATTTCAATAACAAAACACTTCGCCCTCCGTATCTTCAGTTTTGGACAACAATCAGAAGAACAATACTTACTAGTTACCCTATAAATCATTCAAAGTATTCGCTAAGATGTCACTATCGTGTGCAACGTCAGTCCCTAAAAACACTTCCTGTGTACAATGGACGGGCCGGACTCATCGTACTCCTGCTTGCTGATCCAGCTCTGCTGGAAGTCGGACATGGAGGCAAGGATGGAGCCACCGATCCAGACGGAGTATTTTCTCTCTTGAGGAGCGATGATCTTGATCTTCGTTGATGCTGGAGCAAGGGCTGTGATCTCCTTCTGCATTCTGTCGGCGATACCGGGGAACATGGTGGTACCTCCTGAGAGAACAGTGTTGGCATACAAGTCTTTACGAATATCAACATCACACTTCATGATTGAGTTGTATGTTGTTTCGTGGATACCAGAAGATTTTCCCAGGAAGGAAAGCTGGAAGAGAGCCTCTGGACAACGGAACCTCTCGTCGCCAATGGTGATGACCTGACCGTCGGGAAGCTCGTAGCTCTTCTCCGATGAAGAGGAAGAGGCAGCAATCTTCATTTCCTGTTCAAAGTATAAAGAAATGTAAGCTA